TTCATCAAGGGGAGAAGTGGAACTTGGGAACAACAGATAGAGCTTCAGGATTAAAATTGAAATCCCCAGGTTGAATGTATCTTTCATCTGGATGAAGCCAAGTGCAGACGCCCAGCGCTTAAATCCTGATTGGCACAGGTTCCTGGTATCCTTCCAGAATGAAGCACCAGGAGAGGATAGGTTAGCAGCTCATGGCAAGAAAGCCAAGGTATCGTCTGATAGTGTGTCAGCGGAGAGGCAGGACACTGCTCCTCCAGGTCAGGATAACAGAGGCAAATCCTGCAAAGCCATACGCTTCTACCCAGGGTTACTAACCCCCGAGAGCATTTTGATAAAAATAAACGACAGGTAACATTCTTGGAGATGGTAGGGGGTTTACCAGAGCCTGGTGATAAAGGGCAAAGTGATACCTACATAACAAACCCAAGGAGAGGTCAAGGTTTGTGGGTTTGCCAAGCTTCAAGAGTTATACAACGTGAATGCCAAGGACCAAGAAATCAAACCTGTGAAATGGTTGGAGGTGGTTAAGTTTGAGGTCACATGTTTCTCAGCTCCTGTGCTACGGGATTAGTGTGAGATCCAGAAGATGGTGGAAGTTAATTTGAGCCCACAGACTCTATGGACTCACCCCTCATGCCTTCTACTCTCCAATCATGTTGTTTCTCCAAGGCAAGGGGCCAATAAGAGGATGCACTGCCAGGACAAATCATCCCAAAGAGATGCTTTTCCCCTTGGCACCATGTCCTGTGTTTGCCCAGCAACCCACATCCTGCTCAGCCCTGAATCTTCTGACTTCCCACAAATTAATTCAAATTCTCCAAGATTAAAATTGAGCCTATATCCAGAGAGCACCTGAGAGTCTTTGAGTTTCACCTAAAAGGAAGTGGGGAACTGTATCACTGTCCGTGTGTTTGCCGCTGGAGAATTGCCAGATCATTCATGCAGCAATCAATCTAACACACCTAAGTTGTTCCCACTGATTAGCCATCGACTGTTAGCTAAAGTCCTCACTTCCTTTACACTGATTTATGGCAGCAATAGAAATATACCACCCCGGAGGACACACCTCCTTTCAGCTGGGAACCTATAAATGTCAAGGTATTTTTATTCTAATTGAGAAGGACCCAGCAAAATGGGGATCTCCATAGTCATCCTTAAAATATGTCTTTTACTGGATCCAGTTCTAACTGCAGGTATATATCTAATTATTATATTCATTAATTTCACTCTTGCAAATCCTAGTCATGGCAAATTATATCTACTTATTCCCTGGTGCTGGACTTCCATCTCAAGGGGAGTTTTGTATCAAGGAGGAGGAAATTCTTTGCTCATAACTGTCATTGCAAGTGTTGAGAAAGAATGGCTTTTTGTTTGTTTGTTTGTTTTGTTTCTGGCTGAGAAATACAATGTTTGTAGTTAGAAAAAGTCAATCATTATGTCAATGTTTTCAGTGAGTAGCTCAACTAAGGAAATGATTGATTGGCCTTAGAAAAATTCCTGAAGTTAAGGAAAAGTGCATGTGTACTATTAAGAGGCTCTAAAACTTTGACATCATTGGTTAAGGACATGGTTTGTGTCCTCTAAAAGTGGGCAGTAAGATCGCCCCTGAAAACGCTCATTAAGTGACTTCTTTCTGCAGGTGTATCTGGCTTGATAATATTTACCAAGCAAACTCAGGTCAAGGAGCTGAGCACAGACAAGATCATTAAGACTCCAAGTTTGAGCCTGTCACTCTGCCTTAGATAAATGATTTGAAGCTCGATAACTCACGGGAGTTCCTTGGTGTTCTTAGAGTGTGAAGTGATCAAATGTATACAAAAGAGCCATTGGCAAGTCAGTGTGGCCGTGGAATCTCAGCGTCGATGTATAGGGATACTACGTGAGCTGGCTGGTTAGCCAGTCTGCCCAGGAGCTATCTGTCTCTGCCTTAGTTCCTCCCTTCTGTTCTCTCTTCGTTCCTTCCCTCTTCTCCTTCTTTCTCTCCCTCCCTCCCTTCATCCTTTTCTTCCTCCCTTCTCTTTTACCTCCCTCCTGCTTTCTTTGGTGTCACCTTTTGCTACATTCATGAATTTCAGAAGACAGGGCAAAAGTACCCTAATTTCTAGAGAACTTCCAGAACTCTCACTCCTACCCCAAAGGCTTTGTAGGGGAAACTCCAGAGATGCAGGTTCATTTGGGAAACTGCCTTCATGAAAGCAGCACCCCATAAGGAAGCCCTCGCTGTGCTGGCAATGGAGAGCAGGGCTGCACTGTGTGATGTGGGCGGCCGGCCTGGTGACGCAGGGGGGCCAACTGACAGAGGATGCCCACCTTCTTTTCTTGTCGGGAGGACATCAGTCTGGGGGCTGGAAATCGTGTCTTGAAAATGGGGGCAGTGTTGTTAACGCTAGCTTTCATCTCTAGAACATGAATCGCTGGACTTGCCCTGGCTCTGAGAGGTGACGTGGGATTTAAGTCAGCCCCTGAGGGACAGGATGTGAGTTGCCCTGTTCTTATTTACAGAGGGGCTTAAGGCAGCAGTGTGCTTGGATTGAGGGAACTCGTGGTTTTTCCATGACTTTCTGGGCACGTGCGCGCACGCACGCACACACACACACGCATGCGTGCCTATGCTTGCAGCTTAGAGGTGGGAATTGACCTCTGCAAAGTGCTTCCTCTGTACAGAGTGCTCTGCTGGACAGTGTGCCCATGTTCTCTTGTCTAAATCTGCTAACCACCCCAGAGTTAGGTGTCACCATTCCCACATGGGAGATGAGGCAACAGCCTCAGGAAGGGTACGTGGTTTGTCCCAGGTCAACAGCAGGTGAGCAGCTGGGCCAGGATTCGAATCTAGAGGGGGTCCCCCCCCCCACTCAGGCAGCAGTTTTGGCCCCATGACCCTTGCTGCTCCTTGCAGAGAGCCGAGGAGATGACCCTCGGCATTTGGCTCAGCGCTGGAGCCCCGTGGTGGAGCTGGGTGCCAGAAGGGCCATGGCAAGTGGCCTCAGCTCTGGTCCTTGTGCCCCCAGGTTTGTGCTGGGCTAGAGGGGCCGTGAAGCCCCTGCCTCTCCTAGCCACGTCTTTGGTGCTGCCATTTACCAGCTCTGGGGCCTCTGCAAGCCTCCGTTTACTCATCTGCAATCTGGGACTGTATTCCAACCTCCCTGGGTGGGGTGTGGACATGAGGTCAGCAAGCAGGGTCAGAGAGAGGGCGCCTGGGAGCCCCTCACTGTTACTGCTCCAGGTCTTAACGTTGTATCCAAACCTCACTTCCTAAGTGCAAGGTGGTGTCTTGGATCGGCTGGTGGAACAGAAAAGAGGAAAAGCTGATCAAATGCATGGAGAGGCTGGAGTTCAGTGAGTGGGGAATGTGCAGTGTTGGTCTCGCTGCCATGACAAAAGCACCACGGTAACGCTAGATAACCTCGGGGGGATGGGGGCAGCGTGCATGGGGTCTCCCTCTCTGTATTAGCTCTGCAGCTTGTCTCCCACTGCGAAGTTATCCCAAGAAAATTTTAAGACCACTTCCTTGGGTCCCATTTCTTGAAGGCCAGTGTTCTGCAAAATGAGGAAGCAATAATTGCTCACAAATGAATTCCTAACAGATTGTTCCACCTTGTACGTACCCTTTCCACAGCTTAGCAGGGGTTTTGGCAATGATTAATGCCTTAAATAAGGAGAAAACCGAATGAAGGGACGTTCAGACGTTGTGAGGGTGTGTTTCATGTGGGTGACATTTCGGGGGGGCACTTCCGAATCACTTAAATAACAGGCCACGAGGATTACCCTCCTGAGCAGTTCTCCTTTCTTCGGCACACATTTATGGTGCAAACTCACCAGTGGGCATCATGTGACTCAGCCTGAGCTCAGTCTGCTGAATGTTCTGGAATGAGGAGAAAGTCCATGGCGGTGTGTCGGCCTGAGTCCAGGTGGGGTGGCCTGGCATCCAGGACCCTGCAGTCCCGCTCAGTTGTCTTCTCCAGCCCCACATTCTCCACCCCTTCCTGGGCATCACCCATCTATGTTGCTATTCCCCACACGGTCCACGCTATTTTCTACCCCGTGATTTTATTTGTTCTGCAGGATACCTTGCAGCTCACCGTCTCATACAAAGCAGCCTGTACTTCCTATCTCCCACACTCCGGTAATGCTGCCTCTTTGCCATGTTGACTTCACTCATGCTGTTCCATTTACCTGGAACAGTCTTCTTCCCCTTCTCCCTTGCCTTCACCTGGCTAAATCTAGCTGCTATTTTTAAATACACGGACGCCGTCCCATCCAGGAATCTCTCCCTCCCTGACATATACTCTCAACACACACACACACACACACACACACACACACACACACCCTCCGACACACACAAAAACACAGACACATATATAGATACATACACTACACACATGGACTGTGTCATCTTATGGTTATCACTCTTATTCTCCCATGGCATCTTAACTCCTGCACCAAATTATCTGTGGATTTTTCTAGGGATCCTGCTATGCTGGGAGTACATGGAGGGCAAGGACCATGTCTTGCTCATTTAGTACCCCGCACAACACCTTGCATTGCTAAGAGCCTACAGAGTGCCTGGCTCATGCTGAACATAAGGGGACAGCCTGGATGCCCCGGTGCGGGGCCAGCTAGGCTCGAGACAGCGTGTGCCCATAAGCCATCTCCAAACATGCTCCCGTGCCAGGTCCCGAGCAGGATTTCTGTTTCCTTATATCTAGTTTATAGGGAGCTACATGCTATGTCAGGAATATTATTACCCACATTACCGTGTATTATTACTTCAAAATGTTTTGCTTTTTTTACACATTGCAATGGAATCCCATCATTTTAATTTGAATTGGGGGAGGCACCCAGCGGAGTTGTGTGGCATGCTTGCTCTGGGCTCTGGGCGCTTGACTTCAGACATGAGTTTCCCTGCTTGGTAGCTGTGTGAATTTTGACAAGTTGTTTTACCTTCTAAGTCTTGCATTTTTAGCTATAAAATAGGTGTGCATAACACTTCTACCATAATGGATTTTGTGAAGGTGAAATGGGTACTATGTGTCCAGCACTTAGCTCAATGCCAGGAATGTGGAACTTGCTCAAAAATATTAGCGCTTCCTCTCCTCCTTCTTACCTTTGCCCTTCTTCCTTCCCTGCGTCTCTCTACCATTAGCTTCATTATCTTCCTTTGTCTTTCCAATTCCTTCTGCACCTAAAAAACTGCCTCCCACATAACTTGCCACCCCATCTCCACCTTCAGCTTCAAATCACAGCTCCTAATGCACGGTTAGTGCAGAAAATGTAGGAACTAGAGAAAAATGAGAGAAGAAGTAAAAACACCCCAAATCTACCACCCAAGATGGCTAATGTTAAAATATGTATTTCTTTCAAGTTACATGTAAGTGATATAATTTAACATACAGTTTTTCTATAATTTATCTTTATATTCTGAACATTTTAACATGCCCCTCACAGGTTTTGGACATTGAGGTTATTTTAGATTTTCTTCTTTTTTAAAAATTTCAGCTTTAGGGGTGCCTGGGTGGCTCAGTCGGCTGGGCATCTGCCTTTGGCTCAGGTCGTGATCTCCAGGTCCTGGGATCGAGCCCTGTGTCAGGCTTCCAGCTCGGCGGGGAGCCTGCTTCTTCCTCCCCTTCTGCCTCTCCCCCTGCTTGTGTTCTCTTTCTCTCTCTCTCAAATGAATAAATAAAATCTAAAATTTCAGCTTAATGAGGTATAATTATCAATAAAATTATAGAATATTTGAAGTGTACCCGTGGTGATTAGATAGAAGTATCCATTGTAAAGAGGTTACCCATCGAGTTAACACATGCATTACCCCACATATTTATCTCTCTCCATTTTATTTTCTTTTTTTTTGGTGAGAACATTTAAGTTCTACTCCCTTAGCAAATTTCAGTTGTTGAATACAGTGTGATCAACTATCGCCATGTTTTACATTAGATTTTCAGACCTTACTCATAGCAGAAAGTTTGTACCCTTTTACCAACCTCTCGCTTTTTCCTGCACCCCTTTCAAGTTCTTTGTGTAATGGGTAGTACTGTGAATGCCCATACATCTTTGTCTACATTGTAGAAATTATGATTATTTCCTTTGGCTATATTCTTTTTTTAAAAAAGATTTTATTTATTTATTTATTTGAGAGAGAGAGCATGAGCGGTGGGGGTGGGGGGATGGGGAGAGGCAGAGGGAGAGGGAAAAGCAGGCTGAGCGGGGAGCCTGAGGCAGGGCTCAATCCCAGAACCCCGGGGATCCTGTCCTGAATTGAAGGCAGACACTTAACCAACTGAGCGACCCAGGCTCTCCTCCTTTGGCTATATTCTTAGAAGTGGAATTACTGAGTCAAACAGTTGATTACTTTTAAGGCTTCTAAAACATATTGATAAATAATTTTTCCAGAAGTGTACCAATTCTTTCCCCTATCAGTAAAAAACAAAAGTGGCAATTTTCTACACTTTGACCAGATCTGAATATTATGGCTCAAAAATCTTGGCTGAATTGCTGTGTGAGAAATAGTATACAGATATTTAAGTTTGCATTTCTTCGCTTACAGCCAAGGTGAGCATTTTTAAGCCATTTATATTCTCTTTCTTTGAATTGTCTTTATATTAAAAAATATTGTCCAATATTTTTTGAAGGTTCGTGTCTTCCTCATTGATTTATATAAACTCTCTATATAATTTGGTCATGAATACTTTGTCCACCATATTAATGACAGATATTTTCCCAGTTTGTTATTTGCCTTTAATTTTGGATTTTGATTTTTTTCCTGAACAAATACTTTATATTTTTATGTAATTAAATTTATTGCTGTTTTCCTTTGTAATTTCCTACTGATTTTAAATTTAGAAATTTCTTACAGAAATCAGATAAACATTTAACTAGTTTCTTATTTTTGTGTGTTTAAATATCTAGTTCTTTAGTTCTGAAAATTATTTGGTGTGAAGTCAATTTCTAAAATAATTTTTTTCTCTCTCTATATATATATTTTAGAGAGAGAGAGATGCAAGTGGGGGCAGGAAGGGGCAGAGGGAGAGGGAGAGAGAGAATCTTAAGCAGGCTCCATGCCCAGCAAGGAGCCCAATGCATGCCTCATCTCACAACCTTGAGATCAAGTCAAGACTCGGATGCTTGATATGAACCACCCAGGTGCCCCTTTTCTCTATATTTTAATTCATATTGCTTTATTTTGAATATTTTGGAGCTAATGATAATTTTTTTGAATGCCATGAGAAGACACTGTCTTAAACACTTGATGTATTTTTTCCTGGTTTTGTCTTCACAATAACCTTATGAAGCAGTTCCTGTAATCACCCTTTTACAGATAAGGAGACGGAGGCCAAGTGAGGTTAATGACTTGCTCGGGTTTAGAGGACGAATGAACAGCAGAGCTAGAATTTGAACCCGTGGCCCCATCTCCCAAGTTCCAGGGTGTATAAGTCCTGCTCCCACCAACCCCAATTTGCCCTTTCAGAATCTATTCCTTTTCAAGAACTTATTTTTAGCCTGTTAATTTTTCCTAAAGAACTTCAGAACCCCTTTTTTAAAGAACCACTCAATCAAAGAAAAACCTTCAGACGGGAATTATAGTGAACCTGTGAATTGGTTTATAATGACTGACATTTCTGTGTTCAGTCCTTCCATTCAGAAACCTGGTTCATCTCTCTGTTCCTCTGCAGGAGATGGCCATGGAGCTTTGCATGGTGTTTGTTTTTTTATTCTTTTTATTTTTTTAAAGTCGGCTACACGCCCAACGTGGGGCTTGAACTCACAACCCTGCGATCAAGAGTCGGATGCTCTACCAACTGAGCCAGCCAGGCGCCCCTGTACTTTTATTCTTATAAGACCGTTTTGAAGGAGCACTTTATTCATAGTGTCCTTACTTCCTCAGAGCCCATTGTAAGCCCCGTCTTCCCCCCCTGCCTGGCTCACATCTGCCTGTAGTTCCCGGAATAGAGCCAGGGAACCACATAGGATCTCCGCTAGACCCCTGGACACCCCTCAACTGAAGCCCTTAGTTCCCTGCCCTCCCCCAGCTGGTTACCTGGTCGTGTCACCTGCTAGAGCCAACTTTCGAAGGGACGAAGGATGGTGGAGGCATCGTGCAGTGTCAGAACTCCCCCTGGCTGAGATGTCCAGCATCCCGTAGGGGCTCGGGTGTTGAAGGAAGTGTATCTCACCTCTCTCTTGAAATCACTGTTACATTTCCTTTACATATGCTGCAACTCAATGATTTTCAATCAGAATCAGAATCACCCGGAATGCTTTTACAACACCCCAGAGCTCCTGATTCATAAGTCTGGGGGAACCCTAAGAATCTGCAGTTTTAACATGTTCTGGGTGCTAACTGATGCTGTTGATTCATGCCCCCCTCCCCGAGAACCATTGTTTTAAAATAACTTTGTTTTTTGTTTTTTGTTTTTTTTGAGAGAGAGAGAGAGAGAGATAGTGTGGGGGAGGAGGGGCAGAGGGAGAGAGAGAGAGAGAGAGAATCCCAAGCAGACTCCACGCCCAGTGTGGAGCAGGATGTGGGGCTCGATCCCAGGACCCTGAGATCACGACCTGAGCTGAAATCAAGAGTCAGATGCTTAACCGACTGAGCCACCCAGGTGCCCCTAAAATAAATTTTTCTAAAGTGACTGGGACAGATAGTTTGTTGGTTACTCAAAAATGTTGCTTAAAATGGGGAACCACGAACATACATACACATTTTAAGTGTTCCCTGTTAACTGAAGACACATCAATACACTTGGATTCACCAATTTGTTGCTATAGGCTTTCCTCCCGGGAGGGATCTTCTGTGGTTCCGCAACGTCTTTCTTATATAAACCATAACCATTTGGCATATCTGTAATTTCTAGTTTTTGTTTCTTCAAAGGGGAGCGTGAAATGAAAGATACTTGCAAAGTGGTGTGAGCCCCAAAGTTCTGTTGTTATACATCTTTCTGGCACTCTTCGCTGTCCCACCTGCCTGGTTTCTTTTTTAGCAACTTGATTTTATTTCCAAAGCATTCAGCCTTATTTTATAGAAAACCATCTTTCTTTTTTTACCCACATTTCTTTGATTTATTTAATATTTAACTGAATCTAATGCCAAGGACAACTGTCATAAGCAAGTTCGGGGCTCATACCTGCCTCTAGTTGATCAAACAAAGAAGTTGGTTGGAATGGAAGTTGCCAGGTAAGCTAGAAAACAGCCTATCAGTGCTAGTGATCAGTAGGTTTACAGGGAGGATGGAGGGCATCATTTGACCTGGCAAGGGGGTTAAATAAAGATCAGTGAAGAGAATTTCTTGTTTACTGCCACCTACTGGATGCCTTTCCACTCGAATATTCAAGTACAGCAAATAAAAATACAATGCACCCAGTTCAACTTGATTTGTAAAAACATGTTTTGTTTTATGTGTGTGTGTGTGTGTGTAAGTGTGTCCATGCAAATATATTTGGGACATACTTATACTAAAGAAGTATTCATTGTTTATCTGAAATTCAAATAAAAAGATAATTTTTTGTATAATATGTCCCATACAATATTTGGGATATACTTATATTAAGAAATATCTTTGTTTATTTGAAATCCCAATTTAGCTGGGCATCCTGTATTTTATTTGGCAATCCTTTTGCTCCATTTTTTCGTTGACATATGTTTATGCCTTCTTTCAAGTCTAGAGGAAATATCTGCCCCTGTCTGGAATCCTCCTGCTTTTCTTCCAAAGCCAAGAATTGCTCTCCTTTTGAGATTCCCACTCCCCTGCACTCCGTGTTCCTCCCAGGGAAAGACCGGATTACTGGCTACCAAGTCTAGCTGCTGAGTCACCTCTGAGCTCCAGAGGACTGAGCTTTGCCCTCTCTGATGGATTCCTCCCTCCTCCCTGACTCTCAGTGCAGTGCCCCCGGGCAGTCAGAGATTAGTCCATACTTGCTGAGTGAAATATTTAATGAATGAGGCCCAGCTAAACCTCCAAAGTAAAGTCTGATGCAGCCCCCTCCCCTGTTTGAATTAGCAAGGAGGTCAGATCTAATGCTTGTTTTCAGAAGAGCTCTCATTTGGCCCTTTTTCTTTGTCTTTCTCAGCAAGTTCAGTGTCAGCCACCAAAGGAACCACTTTTGAGGAGACACATACACCAACTGGTAACTCTAAACTCTGGGACTGGATGGTTGTGGGACCCATCCCCACCCGCAAGGACTCAGGAGGGACTGCTGCAGAGAATCTTACTGGGTTTTAGATGTAGGACAAGGAAGGACCTCTTCTGATGGGGTCCACCTGGGCACTCAGCCCCTTCCTCGCAAGTTTCCACACTGACCAGAAGACAGGCCCTGAGTCTCCGTGTCAGCCTGTGCCCAGCCACACCTCTTTCCTAAGATCTCTGTCCCCCAGGGTATCCCCCCGGGGGCTGCAGCTACTCAGCAGGGAAGCAGAGGTAGGTGGGGACAGGATCATCTAACTAAGGCTCTCTGGATATAATCAGTTACTATTCCTCTTCTTTTCTAGGATTTTTATCACATGTTGCGAAAACAGTGGAAACCTCTACGGCCGTCGATGCTTTAAGCGGTAACTTCTTCTGCCATTTCTTGATCTTATTATAGTCCTGTGTGTGCATGAGTGTGTTTGCTTGTGCAAGAGTGCAAACCTTATGATTTGGGCCACATTGTTCAAATGTTAAATAGGTATATACTGAAACGCAGAACTGTGAAATGGTTTAGCGCAACTGCCTGAGTACAAAGTCCTGCCCCTTATCACTTATCAGTCGGTTGGTCTTGGGTCACCTTCCTGAGCCTTGGTTTTCCCACGGGTTATTTTGAGGATTAACTAGGATGATACATGGAAAGCTCTTGAATAGGATCTGAGGAAGTCACAGTTTGGTAAGGGCCCAGGACAGATTGTCCTGGATGACGTGCGTTGCTCAGGAAATGAATCCTACCTATGGCCATGGGGAAGACACCAGCGTCATATGCTGGGGGGGGCGGGGGTTGGCTCCAGGAGATAATGCGTATTACATGGCTCAGGGCAGAGTAATAATAGCCATGTCCCCTACTCTACAAACTGATTTCTCCATCAGGAAAATGGAAATTATAGTAGTACCTTGGCCAACTTATTTTACCGCTAAGTGCTTCAGTTTACTTCTCTGTAAGAGGAGGGAACCCTACCGTTATGAGTTGCCATGAGGACCAAAGGGGACAATGTGGGTGAAGCACTTAAGACAGTGAGTATTGGAAATTGTATGATCATGGTCATCACATGATTCTTATTGCTGCAATAGCTAACACCTGTTGTTATGTTGAAAACGCACCAGTCAGTCTGATACACATTTGATCTACATTTCTCATTTAATTTTCCCAATAGCCCTTACTGACCCAGGGTCAGTAAGTCTCAGTAAATGACCACATCTGTCATTTTATGGGAAAGGAAAGGCATTTTCATCTCCTATTGCCTTTGTCAACACAAAGTCACTTGACTGTTTTTTGTACCAAATTGTTGCCAATCCATGCTTTTAGTGATTTCAGTTAGTTGAGAACTGGGAAGTCAAAGCTCTCAATCTCAACTCCTCATGCCCATTCAACTCCTCATGCCCATTCCTACAAACTGGCTAGGCTAAATTTTCTCAAAGAAATAAGAAAAGTAATGGGTCCCCATTTGTACCAAATTAGGTACAAGCCTAATTTGCTTTTCTACAGTGCTGAAATGTCAATTTCTATTGTAATGAAATAAAGGCATATCTGCAGCAGTAAATACACAGAAACAAATGCACCAGTAATTAAAGAGTATTTCATTGAATTTATTCTTAAGATATAATAAGCCACTTTTTTAATCACCATGTTTCTTGGGACTAGTTTAGCATTTTGTTTTCCACATACCAGAGACTCAAGAAATCTTTATCAATTTGAATTAAGTTTCAAAGACAGATTACAGATCTGTTGATGTTGATCCACATGCTATTGTTGTATCTCTACTTTAATGTCAACCAGAAAAAAAGCAATGGTTCAAAGGTGGATTTCTTGGTGAGGATCCCTGTGGATGAAACACACATGTGTCTGATTTTTCTTTTATTCTTTCATAGCTTCCCAATCAGATCCTGTCACAACAACTGGTGAATACTTTAAAAACAATATCCTGAATTTGATTTAAAATCTATTTATTATCCTATGCAGTTATTTATATCTTAAGCATAAACACTGCCTTTAGTGAATGGTATGAAGTCTGCACAAAAACATGATTTGTGTCCTTTATATAAATACAAAGGCAGTAGAAACTTCTTTCAATTATAGAATAAATGGACCTTGTAGTTACCTTGTTATGTTCTTCTTCAATTGTATTTTGCCTTTGCCTCAAACTTCCATGTACATCAGAATCAATGAGGGTATTTTTTTGAATGCAGGTCCTTGGGATTTATCTTCCTCTCCTTCAGAGACCCTGATTTGGAGGGTCTGGGTTGAGGCCCAGGAATCTGAATTTTTATATAACTGAAAATATGGACCACACTTTGAGCAACCATGCTGCATGGCCCAGTACTGAATCAAGTTTTTTGTGTTTATAATGTAATTATGGAATCACAACTTTGCTAAGAATTTCCAAAGAAAGTGACAGAGATATGTATATATTTTTTAAGTGCTCTTTGTACTTATTTTTTCTTAACGTCTATATTTTGCTTAATGTCAAGTGAATTTAGGTTTGTAGCATTTTCCCAAATGGTTCATGGCTACATCATAAGTCTGACTTGTAGATATAAAGACTTTTCCATGAGTACATTGCTAACACTGAACTTTTGCACACCTTGCAAAATGGCCTCAATGTCCTTGCTACCTCATTTGACAAGAACCAGCCCTACCAGGACTCTCTCTGTATTGTTTCAGGGGAATGTGTTCCCTGCTTTCAGGGACTTATGGTCTAATGGCAAGATAGACAGTAATCAACTAATATATAGTTACAATTACAGCTGTGGTAAGTGCTGGAGAAAGGAGGTACATGGCGTGAAAGATGTGACCAAGATATGAGAAAGAGAGTAGCCCCACGAAAGACATAGGTGAACTGAGGTCTAGAGCTGGTGTGGGAATTAGGCAGACAGAGCAAAGAGGAGGAGTGTTTTTCTGTTCTTCACTGGCACTGCTGTCAGGAATGGAACTGATAGAGACTCACGTTGACTCTAGCTACCCTGCCCCAGCCTTCAGATACTCCCCTCCTCCATGCTTAGCTATGCTAATACTTTATCTAGCCAGGGTAGTGCCCTGATGGGAGGTTTTCTCTAGGTCCTATTTTCCAAACTGTGGCCTTGACACATTTTTCAAAGCTCTAGGGAAAAAAGAAAGACTTCTGATTAATGGAGTTTTTGAAGTGTTGCCTGCCCTTGGTGGTAGAATGTCATTTGTCTTTTGGGGCAAATGAGTGAAGAGCTACAGCTGGACCTCGTTCTTGTTTGCCTTCTAAATTCTTGTCTAAATCTAGATGGAGTTGGTGGAGGCAAATCCAGAGATGTGTCCATGAACAAACCTCTGGGAAGCTCATCATTTGGTCATATCTTGAACTGATACATTAAACAATGAGCAATCTAGCACGATCTCTGCTTTGTGGCATCCTATGCCTCTGTACCAACACCTTAGGATGGCCATTTGCTTGGCAACAGTGAGACTCCGTGAAGAGGACTCATATAGGGCTCCCATCCACAACATCCTTAACTCCACTGAGACAAATGCAGACTATATGGCAGAGAAGATGGTACCTGAAAGGATGAAATAATCTGGGTGCTTGTGACAGATATAAGATGAAAGTCCTAAAGATGAAAACCACAATAATCAAAAGCATTCTTATCCTGGAGTCGTGTTGTGTGCACAAAAACAATGTTGAATCTCAGTCAAAGCTACTGGGTGACTTCATATTGAAAACCCATTTTGGTGGGTTTATGGAAGGTCAGTTGGCACGGACCACTTTCCTTGCAAGAACCACAAGGAAAGGGTTGGTGGCAGGCAGTGACTATGACAAAAGGCAGAGCAGGATGATAGCTGAGAACACTGACAGTAGAGGAGGAGGCCGCATGTCCTTGGATGTACTTGTTCAATGTCTGTGCCTCAGTGTCCTTGTCTATAAGTGGGGATGACTGGGTTAGGGTAAAGATGAACTGAGATAGTGCATGTAAATAGTAAAACATGGTATTGTCATCAACCATGAAAATGTAATCATTTTTATTAAATGTTCGTTTAAGGTCCAGGGCACTTTCCAGAGTGCCATTGGAGTCACCACACAATCTCCTTAGGCTTCTCTTCTAGAATAACTGGAGTGGCCTACCCAGTAGATATGGCTAGTTTGATGATGCCTTGTTTGGTTTAATACTCAAGCTCTTCTTCAATTTTCTCCCCACTAAAGCAATAATGTATACAATGTGCAAAGGTACACAATAGATACTCTGGGAGACTTGGGGCAATGGCTTTAGCCCAGATGGGAGGGGACCAGCTCCCTTGGAAAGTGACCAGGTCTTTGGGGAAATATCTTGCGAGATCTTTTTGTGGCTTTTCCTTGGTTGAACCATTCTGATGTCTCAACTGTCTTGAGACATCATTCCCAAAATGACAGCTGACATCATCTACAACTATGTGGTTGATTGATGGAATTTGAAAGCCAGTTGGTCCCAATAAATTTGTGAAAAGAGTCTGTTCAAACTGTGTGGACACAGCACAACCAGAGATAACTCCAACGTTCTGTTTGGGGGTTTTATGCCTGAGTATTGTTGGGACTTTGGAGCTCAGAGCTTCTGGGTTAGATGTAGATTCTGACATCGACCACCATGTGACTAAGCAAGATACCTGGAACCAGACAATGGGAATTGTGTGGTGTCATTGGTACTGTGTTTAAATGTCCAAGTTTTGAATGAAGGACTCTCTCAGGCAAGTCTGTCAGCGTGTGCTTGAGTGTGGGAGCAGGGATAGTATGTCAGAAATGAGGTGGGGATGTTCTGGTGCACACATTTCCTAGGTTTGTGGCCTGTGTTGAAAGAATGCTCTAGCTGCCTATTTCTGTTTCAAATTGCTTCTCCATCCTCAGGACTGTGCAGCCCATGGCTTCACCTGCCTTCTTACTGGGCCATCAAGAACATAAAGCAGGGCAGCTGGAGAAGTCCATTGTGGACCCCACATTCAAGGTTGAGACAAATGGTGTAGTTCTCTGGCATCAAGGCCTCTCACTGGCCTGTTGGTTTTGCTAGAGAGATTCCAATCTCTGAACCTCTGACTGCTGTTCCTGGCAGCACTCACATTTACAAGGAATCTGAGAAGTTTATCGAATGCCTTAACTTTCTTTATACCAAGAAGTAAGAAAAACGGGATCATGAAAGCAACCACATTGGAATTTTTAATAAGAATTTAAACATAGCAGATCTCCTTTTATCAAGTAGATTTTGGTATATAAGCATTAGAAAAAATAAAAGTGAACCATCATATGTCCTTTTAGCAAAATGAGATGGTCTGAATTCTTGCTGCAAAATATCACCAGTGAAATCCTTTCCATTGAAGTCGGGTGAGAGCACTATATTTTATTTATTTTCTTAGAGAGGGTGGAGAGAAAAAGAGAGAGAGAGAGGAGGGGCAGAGGGAGAGGGAGAGAGAGAATCTTAAGCGGGCTCCATGCCCACCTTGGAGCCTGATGTGGGGCTCAGTCTCACGACCCTGAGATGATGACCTGAGCTGAAATCAAGAGTCCGATGCTTAATCAACTAAGCCACCCAGACACCCCGAGAGCACTATATTTTATTTTTGTACTTAGAATTATATTACTGACTCCTTGATTTTTGAATTTGAGGAAATTCATCTAGTATATCATCATTTGAAGGCCCAGAGTCTAAGATTTCAATTGTACAAGTAATTTCACCATTATTGTTAGCATCTAGGGGCTACAATCTATCTCTTTACATTCCTCTTCTGATTCATCTAGTTATTGTGAAACATCTTCAATGTCAATTTTCTTCTCTTTGTCATTGGTAATAGACAATGAAAACTTCTAAATTTTTAACTACATTCAGTGAAAGCTAAAAGCATCTTACAAAGACAGTGTCTCCAGTCTTTTTAAAAAATACCTTCTTGAAAGGTAATGCAGTATTTGGGGCACTGAAGAATGATGACCTATCTTACCACTTCATCTTTCTTCTAGATAATGCCACCATTCTCTCATTGTCTTATTATATAACTCTTTTTTATGATAGTTAATAATTAACAAGTAATGATGAACCAATTCCTTGAATGATGAAATAGCAAAATGTTTCAAGCTATAGGAAAAAATGAGATCACAGAGAGCCCGTAATGTATTTTGGATTTATAAAATGATCCAATGAGGGTGCCTGGGTGGCTCAATTGGTTAAGCGACTGCCTTCGGCTCAGGTCATGATCCTGGAGTCCCGGGATCGAGTCCCGCATCGGGCTCCCTGCTCGGCAGGGAGCCTGCTTCTCCCTCTGACCCTCCTCCCTCTCATGCTGTCTCTCATTCTCGCTCTCAAATAAATAAAATCTTTAAAAAAAAAAAAGATCCAATGAATCCATATAGTGACTATAAGATAGAATGACTTTTATTCTATTTTCTTTTCACAAATAAATATTCCTTTTGTTCTTTGGAAGACCTCTTAAAACATGTAAAAGTCATGAAATATCAATCCTCACAAATAGAGTAAAGCCTGCTGAAAAAAGAAACTCAAGAACTAAAATTGAGTCTGATGGACCTTGAAGGTGTCCTAAGGGTTAACTTGAAGTGGAGGGGCTTAGAGAGCTTTAGAGTGGCCTCAATGATAAAGACCCAGGGTCCTCTAGATGTTGGTTTTGTTCAAAATAGATTAAAAATTTCTCAGGGTATGGATCAGAAGGCACTATTCCAAGTGCTAACTCCACTCAAATTTCAAACTGGAGGGACCATTCAACTGGCATCCAGAATCCTTGACAGCTAGTCAGAACTGCCTTCTCTTTTCCAGCCCTTCTGAGCACAGATTACATCCTGTAACTATAAACTGTAAGCGTTATGGGGCAGGGTGAAGAAACATGTACTTTATTACATCTAAAATTATTCAACACCCCGCATCCAATCCACTTGAAATCTATTGCAAAATCCAGAACACTTTGCAAGAATGCTGGAGGCACACAGACCCAAGAGTTAGCCACAGTGCCCGCTGGCATGATCGTAAGGTGATGCTCAAGCCAATTTCTGTGACTGTAGATCATTTACAAACGGTGGAACCTCCATTCCAAGATGAATTTGGTTTCTTCCTAGGTCTGGGGAGTTCCCCGACTACAGACTATGGTAAGACCTTTTTTATTTACTTGTCTTCCTGGAGTTTTGCTTACTGGCTGGGCCAGCCAGTTGTTCTGCTGCTGTTGGCTTGTTGAGGCTGAGTACAGCCTGCCTTTTAGAAAGCAGGGATGGGAAGAAAGGGGTCAGGGGATGCTGAGACCTTAGGCATGTATCAGATGCACACTCAGCCAGTCTCATCTGTCATTCTCCTTCCTTCTTCTCTCTGCCTCTCAGTCCTTTGTTGCATGGGATTAACTTCAGCTTGGTGTCAGGAGAGATGGGTGACAAAAAGCCAGTGCCTCTTCTTACCGCTAGTGACAGTTATCTTGAAGATAGCTAACATCCCACAAGCACTTGTTATGTACCCTGGACAAAATTATTTTCATATACCAAATGAGTTAATGTATAAAAAAATCATTTAAAATACTGCTTGGTGCATAATAAGTGCTCAACTAATGTACATAATATGCGCTATTATCATGAAATCTTTCCAACATTTTGAGGTAAGTGATATTATTACCCCCAAGTTGCAGATGGGGAAACTGTGGTATAGTTAGGTCACTTGTCAACAGTTATATGTCCCAGGTCACATGGTGGCTAAGTGTCTGGGCAGAAATTTGAACCAAGAACAGGCACCTTTGCCTCTGTCCACTATTCCTACTAAATCTATCCATCTCTCCCCAACCTCTGAGTGAATGCACACACTCTGCACTGAATTTGATATGTCAGAGTCCTTGATGTGCTCACTTAGGACAGCGGACCCTGCCATGGAGTTCTTGGCTCTGTTGAGGCCAATCCCTGCCCTTTCAGAGCATGCTCTGAGAGTCCAGAAGTGGCCTGGGAGGGGCTCTAGTGGAGCTTTCTGGTGATTGACACCCAGCAAAGGGCAGGCTGAGGCAGGGAGACTGAGAGCTCTTCTGCAGGGGCATTCACAGGAGTGACCAAAGAGGGCAGCAGGAAGGGCTGTGGAGGTCCTTGGGAACACCCTAGAAACAGCCCAATTGGCTTTTCCTCACTCTTTCCTTGAACTCTTCCCTTACAACAACAACAGAAACCACCTGCCCCCTGATCTTACATCCTATTCCAACCTCTCTGGTCACTGCCTGACCACAGATTTCTCATAAACTCAAACTAACCACTGAAAAGCCATACCTAGGACTCAGGTCCTGCTATCATGATGTTGGCTGGATCTCTCGGGAGCTGCTCCCTGTTTTCTTTGCAAAATCAGTGCAGGTGGTTTAGCAGGATCATGTCAGGCTGGAACATATTGCTCATTATGGTGGCATTCAGGCTTTGTCAGCCCTCACAAGAGGCTTGAAAGGTGAGTTGAAGGCCACTCTTGGATGAATGCCACCTGAGACTTGACCCTGATGGCAGTGGAGAGTACATTGAGGCCTTTTGAGCAGGGAAGTGAGTTGAATATATCCACATTTTGTAAAGATAAAACTTGGGACATTCTAGGGGAGACAGATAAATCCTGTCAGCATAGGAGTGGGCACAGAGTAACCACTCCATACATGCTTGTTGAATCTATCAATGTAGATGGATTAGAGAGGGAAGGGTCAGGGCAGGGAGATCCACGGGCAGGCCCCTGGAGTAGGCCAGATTCAAGAGAAGGAAAATCTAACCTAGCAAAATGGCGGTGAGAATAAAAGGAAAGACAACCTTGTTGATAAGTTGGATATAAGAGGTACAGAAGGGGAGGAATCAAATATAACAACCAGATTTCCAACACAGTTCTTGTGGAGCACGGCTTGATTCAAGTGGAAGAAAGAGACTGTGTTGGGTTTGGGATGGTGGGATGGATATCCAGGAGGCCACTGAAAATGTTGGTCTAGAGCCTGGCTGGGTTTGTAAGGGCTGATCAGCACTGGAGACGTGCTTTAGGATTCCAGGCAAGCTACTTGCCCTCTCTGAGCCTCCATTTATCTGAAAAGGGACCTGCCCTCTAACATCAAATAAGACATGACCTAGAGCAAAGCATGTAAGACGCAAAGCACTATGCCCATGCAAAGTGATGTAGAGGTCTAGGAGACCTAGGGTCTTCCTCCTAGAAAGCTCTCAGAGTACATGAGGTCTTTCAGGGGGAAGGCAGCAGGAGAAGAGAGCTAAGACAGTGCTTGGTAAAGCAGCGAAACATAAGGTGTGGGAGAGGACAAAACAGGTGAAGGAGATGGGCAGTGGTTAGAGGAAGGAGGAGAACAGGGGTGCTAGTGAGTAAAAGCCAGGGAGGCAGAGAGAGTGGACGAGGGCTTTCCACTGTGTCAATGCAGGTTTGCCTCTGAGGCTGGTGAATGGAAGTGACCGGTGTCAGGGTCGTGTGGAGGTCCTGTACCAAGGCTACTGGGGCACTGTGTGTGACGATGACTGGGACACCCAGGATGCAGATGTCGTCTGTCGGCAGCTTGGGCGTGGCCTTGCAGTGTCGGCACCAGGAGGGGCCCACTTTGGTCAGGGCTCAGGGAACATTCTCTTGGGCTTTGTATACTGCTCAGGATGGGAGCCCTACCTGTCGAGCTGCTCCCACAGCGGGTGGTACAACCACGAATGTGGCCACAGGGAAGATGCCGGAGTTGTGTGCTCAGGTAGAGATGACCTCACCTCACCTGTGCCACTCGGACGAGAGGGGCTCCTGCTGACCTCTACATCACTTTGCATGGGCATAGTGCTTTGCATCTTACATGCTTTGCTCTAGGTCATGTCTTATTTGATGTTAGAGGGCAGGTCCCTTTTCAGATAAATGGAGGCTCAGAGAGGGCAAGTAGCTTGCCTGGAATCCTAAAGCTGGGAAGTGGTGGAGGTGGGTTTCAATCTCAGCCTCCTCCAGAGTTTGCCAATGTAATCACCCAGTGGTATTGTTCTGATGATCCCTGCCCTGGGGTGACAAAATACCTTCCTATGTGGCATTTTCTCCTCCTTTTACAGTCAGGAGAGAAGGATCAGAGACTTCTGGTCCTTAAAACTTAAATATATACCAAAATCAAGCAGAGAAGTATCGGTATGTTCTCTTTATTGGGGATTAAATGACCAGCTAAAGATATTTACACCCGCAGTGGAAGAGAGAAATTCTCCCTGACTCAACCTAGCAAAACCCAATGCTGAGTTTCTCCTTTGTTTAGAGAGGGCTGGTAGGTGTTCAAGTACCAAGACTTCTTTTAATCCACAAAGAAACTCTGAGGATAACAATCATTGTGTCCCCCAAAGGGGGTTTCCTGGCTAAATTGTCCTTCTTTAGAGTAACCTCTGGCATTTGTTATGTGGATTGGTTTGTGCACATGCCACCATGCATGGGATGTGACCCTGATAATCCAACTATCACATGAGAATGGCTTCCCATAGAGAGTATGGCTCTCCAAGTAATCACTTTGGAGTGGGTTTATTTTAGCATTTGGGGATGCATCTTTGAAAACTGCCTTTCTTCTTAGTTGGGGCCACCTTCTAAGGAATATCTCAGCAATGGTAGGTATTTGTCATTTGAGGGTGTGGGTAAGCTACAGAAATAGGTAGTTGGTATTTGAAATGTGATCTTGTTGATCAGGTGGGGCTGTTAATCAATGGAGTGATTTTTTGGTTGGAGGCTGAGGAAGCAGAGGGGTGGGAGGTTGATGGCAGGAGCAAAGAACATCTCTGATGTCATTTCAGTATTGAATAAGGGCTGGCAAAATGACAGAGAGATGAATTCTGTCTTGTAAGTAAGAAACACAACCTTTTAGCAGTAGGTAGGGTTTCCAGGTCTCTGCATCCAGCCCTTGTTTCAGAGCTGAGGAAGCAGAAGGCTGGCTCTTCTCAAATGAGGGACAACATTGAGTGACCTCTTTTTTTCTCCCCTCTGTAGCTTCTTCGTCTCCCACAGAGGCATCCCTGGCAACAATTGAGGCAGAAGGTAACATTTTTTATGTGGGATCCTTATGGGCTCATTACCTGCACCCATAAGGTCATCTCTGATCCAGAAGAGGTGCAAAAGGTATAAGAGATAGGGGTGCTCAGTTCCCCAGAGGGAACCTCTGAATAAGGCCTCAGGCCTAAATGGGTAAACCTTCCATGGACCATGTCCCTGAGTTTGGGGAGGGATCAACCTGCACAGGTACTTCCAAGGAGTTCCAAGGTGGATCTTGGTGTCCAGTCTCCAGGGGGGTCCTGTTGCTCATGCTCAGTGCCTACCCTTGTGGTCCTCACCACTGCATGCTGATGCCTGGCCAGGCTGGGGTGCCGGGTCTCTGGCTGCAGGGCCTGGAAAGGCAGGAGCAAACCTGATGGGGCAGCATACTTGCCTGCCTTTGCCCTTTCCTGAGCCCATATCAGGCCACCTTGGTTTCTTCTCAATACGAGGAGCCATGGTCCTTCAGCTTATGGACATCAGAGGTCCCATGTACCTCCCCTGGGGCCATCTCCAATGAGAGAGCTAGGAGGTAGTCAATAGAGCTTGAGTTTTTCGCAACCTGAGCTTTGGGAAGGAAAGTCACTGCCTATATCCCATGGGAAACTTTGACCCTAGGACAAGAGAAGGATAACCTCCCCATGAAGGCCCCTGACCAGAAGTCAGCATGGATCAGTTGGGAATCTTAATGGTACACATGTCACGCATTTCCGTTCCTCAGATGTTATGATTTCCTGTCCCTAAAGCCCATGGGGTGAGGTTTGACTTTACCACTTTCTCTTCCACAGATGTCACTAGAGCTGAGGTTGAGACTGACTTTATTATAATTTAGCCATAGATATGGCTAGTTCTGTCAAAGAACCTGACAAGTTCTTTGGTACAACTAGTCCATCCAGGGTGTAAGCGAAGGGCTCAGGGGCTGGCTATCTGACTATGACACAGGACTGCAGATAGGACTTACCTAGAGCTACTCTTGTCAGAACCTCGACTGTGGGGTAGAGGTGGGGGTCACATTTCCTCTAGATCAAAAAAGACCTCATGTAGAAACCCAATAGGGATTTCAGAAATGCAATGAATGCTCTGGTGGCAGTGGACTAAGAGGAGCTCTCTGGTCTTCTTTCTTAAAGCCCCAGCACCCAGTAGGCTCTTGCTGGGGACTGGGGCAAGCACCACAGTTTCTTGAAGCAATTTGAAAATCATAGGTTTAAAGCTACAATCTTACTTAATGGGTAAACATAGAAACATTATCACTAAAGTAAAAAGGCAAGAATGGCCTTCAGGCTGCTGTCATTTAACAGTATACTAGAGATACTAACCAATACAATTAAACAAGAGAAATCAATTGGAAGCATAAGGATTAGAAAAGTTATTTTTGCATCTATCTGTGGAGCTCTGCATAAGTCACATGTGGGATGGTCAGAATCAAGGTCAGTAGGTTGATAAAGAGATATTTCCCCCAAAATAGCCTTGTAGAATGAAAGAAGTTGAAGCTAGACAGGTTTGTTCCCTTTTCCAAAGTCACATAGCAAGATAAAATCCAGGTCAGAAAACATATTCTTAGCAGATTCTAATTTAATTTGAGTCTTTGATTCTCCTCAGAGAGGACTTAACTATACATTTTCTGTTTTTTTCCCCTCCTTCTACAATCTGTCTATGCAGACAGCACTACAGAGAATATGATGGCTACTAGTGCAATAGGTAATGAATAATTTTATTTGATTCTCTCTCCGTAGATAATGATGGAACTGTATACATGGCTTTCACACTTATTCAGGAAGACTTCTAGGGGTTGGGGTGAGAGGGTGTTGTATGCAGATAGAAAAAAGGAAGATCCCATGTGGCCCTGACAAAAACAGTTTCCAAACACTGTCTTCCATGATGTCTAACTCTGGTCTCTGCATTTGTTGACATATCCAGCCATCACCTGGATCCCCACCTCTGCAATTTCAACATAACTGATAAATAAATATTTCATTCCAACCTCAAAGGATCATTCTCAGTTTCTAGATAAAGTTTGGGTTTGGAAGGGACAGGTGTCTTTCCTTATCTTAGTCCCTGTGTGTGTGTGTGTGTACAGTTAGGGGATAGAGAGAGAACTCTCTGAATATCAGAATCTGGGTGTGATCTTAGAGGGTGGCCTGCTGACTCCATTGGGATCCTGGGCTTATGTTTAGGAAAGGTCCTCACCCAGGTGCTCAGTGTAAGCCCTGGAGGCCTCTCAAGGGCTGGGACCAGGCTTCTCCTGTGGATCCCAGCCCCATGGGGTATAGCCCTAAGAAGAGGATGGACATGTGGGGTACTGTACCTTGCATGCCGAGGTGCACCATGTCCTGGATTTTGGCAGACCCAACTCAAATTGCCACAGAAGCCAATAATTTCCCAAAGAAGGCAAGGGTCTTGGCATGCTCCAGTAGATTTAGAGCTCCGTACTGGGTGTGCCCAGTGTGGATTAGGCCTGTCTACCACGTCACCTCCATCTAGCTATGCGGTGTTTCTTTCCACTGGAGCATCCTTAGCCTTGAGCCAATTGGGATGTCTCTGCCCCTTCACCTGTGGTGAAAATTAACCTCTGGGCATGCTGAAAGGTCATTACCTGTCCCGGGGAACTTAGGCCAGGAAGAAGCCCCTGGGTCTTCTCAACGTTTTAAGCTTATGAGCTTAAGATACAGATGGAGGACGATTTCTGTTCTTTATCCCTCAGGGACTGAGTCAGGGTTGGCCCTGAGGCTGCTGAGCGGAGGGGACCGGTGTCAGGGCCGCGTGGAGGTCCTGTACCGAGGCTCCTGGGGCACCGTGTGTGACGACGACTGGGACGCCAATGACGCCAACGTGGTCTGCAGGCAGCTGGGCTGTGGCTGGGCCACTTCGGCCCCTGGAAGTGCCCGTTTTGGTCAAGGCTCAGGGCCCATTGTGCTGGACAACGTGGACTGCTCCGGCCATGAGTCCTACCTGTGGAGCTGCCCTCACAATGGCTGGAACTCGCACAACTGTGGCCATGGAGAAGATGCTGGTGTCATCTGCTCAGGTGGGGATGAAATATACCCATCTCTCTCTCTGAGATGGTCTTTGAGGGGAAGAAACACACTATCCACAAAAGGCCCGCATCCAACACTCTCTGAGGTATTCTGTGCCTCCCAAGGTTTCTAGAGGCAGCAGGCGACTGAAGTACAATGGGAAGGAAACTGGAGGGTCAGCGGTCCTCGCCTGTTTGGCCATCAACAGAGAAGGGCCAACATTACTTTGCAGCAACATGGCATAGTGGGTGAAAGAACCATCCACAGTTTAGTGGGCAGAAAAAAATGGGTCTCTTCCTTCCAACAGGGTCATCTGCTCAGTCTACACCCCATTTCCCAGGGCCTTACATATCAAGGCGCACCTTTTGGGAGTATGGTTGGAAAATGAACCAATTTCACACCTTCATGGTTATATTCTTCTGGGTCCTTCAGGAAGCCTATTCGGAGAACAGGATTGCAGTGTACATTGTGACTTGGGCAGGGCAGTGAAGAGCAGTTGGGAAGTGGGGAAGGTACAGGGAATGGCAACTCACTACTACGCGGAATGCTAAAGAAACACATAGCAATATGGCAATCGAGTTGACTCCCTACAGAAACGGAGAAAAACCATGTGAAGACTGGGAGCATTGTACCCGGGCTGATGGAAATGGGGTCTATCTAGACCAACTGCCCAGATGCATTCTTGCTGTTCATATGCAGAGCGAATGCAATGGCTTCGGTGGCCTGTCCTGGGCCTGGCAGGGACATTCCACCTCCTGGGATGTCAGCCCTCAGGCCCAGCAAGGCAGACAATGGCAGCAGGACAAAGGCTGGGGCTCCCAGAGGACAGAGAGGTTCAGGGTGGGCCCTGGCTCTGTCCACCGGAGGGCATGTGGAAGCATGATCTCAGGAGGTATAGGCTGTGTTTCTTGAAACTTTGGGCCAGTTGGGGCACCTGTGTGCTGTGTGTTTGACTCGTGTTCCTTTCTCACAGCTGCTCCGTCTCAGTCTACGATCCAGCCAGGTGAGTCCCCTGCCACCCAACTCAGGCTTGTCTCTCCGCCCACCCATCCCTCTTCCCCCCAGGTTGGTCAAACCACTGCTCTCTGTCGAACCTGGGAGCACCTTAATTTTCCCCACTGTCACTGAGATCCTGGCAGATGGCTCTTAACTAGATGTGGGATTCACAAGGGTCTCATCTTCCCGTCAATCCATGAGGTTTCATCCAGTATGTGGGAACTGTGCCAAGAGGTGACTGCCTGCAGTTTCAGAGAACTGGCTGCTTGTGCCATGATTCTCGGCTGTAATACAATCGGACTGACAAGTGCAGTGGTAGAATGAATGCTGATGACCACCGACTTCCTTCCTATTGAAGAGCCGCCAGCGCAGGCTGGTTCCTGTCCATAACTCAGTGCTTGCAAAGGCCTCCGATTCTGTGGAGTCATATCTGCATCCAAGGGGACCTGGACAACATTTCCTGGGGATGGGAGTGCAATAGCTGATGGAGGTGCTCTAGGTGCTGGGATACCAGTTGGCTCCTCGTTGACCCTCAATGCCCCTTCAGATATGGCAAACCCCTCAGACCTACATGAGTCAAGATAGACAGGTGGCAAAGGTTTTCTAAGGGACAAAAGAACTTGCCAGACTTAGAGATGCAGAGGGACCCGGCTGACCTCCACAAGGCCTTTGTCTTAGACATGCTAGGGGACCAGGGGGCTTTGTACAGCACACCCAGCTAGAAGGTGGCAGGATGCAGATGGACAACTCACACGGTGCCTGCCAAAGACAGGTTTCAAAAAATGTTTTCCATGATGTCGAAGTCTGTTTTTTTACCTTTGTTGCCATATCCAGACACCGCCTGGCTCCCCAGCTCTGCAGCTTCAGCAACTGAATTAGGTGACTATTTCAGTCCTCCCTCCTAGGATCATTCTCAGTTCCAGATAAAGTTTGGGGTGTGGGGCGGTCGGGAGCCATCTCAGCGTGGGTCTTTCCTTATCCTTATCCGTGTGTGTGTGTGTGTGTGTGTGTGTGTGTACTGCTGGGAGATAGAGAGAGAAGCCTCTGAAGATCAGATCCTGGGTCTGATCTTAGAGCGAGGCCCCCCAACTCCACTGGGATCCAGGGCTTATGTTCAGGAAAGGTCCTGCCCCCAGTGCTCAGAGTAAGCCTTGGAGACCTCTCAAGTGCAGCTGGGCCCAGGCTTGTCCTGTGGCTCCCAAGCCATGGGGTAGAGCCCTGAGAAGAGGAGGGCCATGTGCTGGTCCTGCACCTTGCATGCCGAGGTGCGCCATGTCCAGGGATTTGGGCAGAACCTAGTCAGGACGCCACAGAAGCCAGTAAGTTGCCCATTAAGGAAAAGGTCTTGGTATGTAGCCGTAGCTTTAGAGCTCCATACTGGGTGTGCCCGGTGTGGATTAGGCTTGTCCAGCACGTCACCTCCATCCAGGACTTGCGGTGTTTCTTTCCATTGGAGCGTCCTTAGCCCTGAGCCGATTGGGATGTCTCTGCCCCTTCACCTGTGGTGAAGATTAACCTCTGGGCATGCTGAAAGGCCCCTGCCCCGGGGACTTAGGCCAGAAAGAAGCCCCTGGGTCTTCCCAACGTTTTAAGCTTATGACCTTAAGATACAGATGGAAGAGGATTTCTGTTCTTTGTCCCTCAGGGACTGAGTCAGGTTTGGCCCTGAGGCTGGTGAGCGGAGGGGACCGGTGTCAGGGCCGCGTGGAGGTCCTGTACCGAGGCTCCTGGGGCACCGTGTGTGACGACGACTGGGACGCCAATGACGCCAACGTGGTCTGCAGGCAGCTGGGCTGTGGCTGGGCCACTTCGGCCCCTGGAAGTGCCCGTTTTGGTCAAGGCTCAGGGCCCATTGTGCTGGACAACGTGGGCTGCTTCGGCCATGAGTCCTACCTGTGGAGCTGCCCTCACAATGGCTGGAACTCGCACAACTGTGGCCATGGAGAAGATGCTGGTGTCATCTGCTCAGGTGGGGATGAAATATACCCATCTCTCTCTCTGAGATGGTCTTTGAGGGGAAGAAACACACTATCCACAAAAGGCCCGCATCCAACACTCTCTGAGGTATTCTGTGCCTCCCAAGGTTTCTAGAGGCAGCAGGCGACTGAAGTACAATGGGAAGGAAACTGGAGGGTCAGCGGTCCTCGCCTGTTTGGCCATCAACAGAGAAGGGCCAACATTACTTTGCAGCAACATGGCATAGTGGGTGAAAGAACCATCCACAGTTTAGTGGGCAGAAAAAAATGGGTCTCTTCCTTCCAACAGGGTCATCTGCTCAGTCTACACCCCATTTCCCAGGGCCTTACATATCAAGGCGCACCTTTTGGGAGTATGGTTGGAAAATGAACCAATTTCACACCTTCATGGTTATATTCTTCTGGGTCCTTCAGGAAGCCTATTCGGAGAACAGGATTGCAGTGTACATTGTGACTTGGGCAGGGCAGTGAAGAGCAGTTGGGAAGTGGGGAAGGTACAGGGAATGGCAACTCACTACTACGCGGAATGCTAAAGAAACACATACCAATATGGCAATCGAGTTGACTCCCTACAGAAACGGAGAAAAACCATGTAAAGACTGGGAGCATTGTACCCGGGCTGGTGGAAATGGGGTCTATCTAGACCAACTGCCCAGATGCATTCTTGCTGTTCATATGCAGAGCGAATGCAATGGCTTCGGTGGCCTGTCCTGGGACTGGCAGGGACATTCCACCTCCTGGGATGTCAGCCCTCAGGCCCAGCAAGGCAGAGAATGGCAGCAGGACAAAGGGTGGGGCTCCCAGAGGACAGAGAGGTTCAGGGTGGGCCCTGGCTCTGTCCACCGGAGGGCATGTGGAAGCATGATCTCAGGAGGTAGAGGCTGTGTTTCTTGAAACTTTGGGCCAGTTGGGGCACCTGTGTGCTGTGTGTCTGACTCGTGTTTCTTTCTCACAGCTGCTCCGTCTCAGTCCACGATCCAGCCAGGTGAGTCCCCTGCCACCCAACTCAGGCTTGTCTCTCCGCCCACCCATCCCTCTTCCCCCCAGGTTGGTCAAACCACTGCTCTCTGTCGAACCTGGGAGCACCTTAATTTTCCCCACTGTCACTGAGATCCTGGCAGGTGGCTCTTAACTAGACGTGGGATTCACAAGGGTCTCATCTTCCCGTCAATCCATGAGGTTTCATCCAGTATGTGGGAACTGTGCCAAGAGGTGACTGCCTGCAGTTTCAGAGAACTGGCTGCTTGTGCCATGATTCTCGGCTGTAATACAATCGGGCTGACAAGTGCAGTGGTAGAATGAATGCTGATGACCACCGACTTCCTTCCTATTGAAGAGCCGCCAGGGCAGGCTGGTTCCTGTCCCTAACTCAGTGCTTGCAAAGGCCTCCGATTCCGTGGAGTCCTATCTGCATCCAAGGGGACCTGGACAACATTTCCTGGGGATGGGAGTGCAATAGCTGATGGAGGTGCTCTAGGTGCTGGGATACCAGTTGGCTCCTCGTTGACCCTCAATGCCCCGACTCTTTATCCGAGGCTTCAGATATGGCAAACCCCTCAGACCTACATGAGTCAAGATAGACAGGTGGCAAAGGTTTTCTAAGGGACAAAAGAACTTGCCAGACTTAGAGATGCAGAGGGACCCGGCTGACCTCCACAAGGCCTTTGTCTTAGACATGCTAGGGGACCAGGGGGCTTTGTACAGCACACCCAGCTAGAAGGTGGCAGGATGCAGATGGACAACTCACACGGTGCCTGCCAAAGACAGGTTTCAAAAAATGTTTTCCATGATGTCGAAGTCTGTTTTTTTACCTTTGTTGCCATATCCAGACACCGCCTGGCTCCCCAGCTCTGCAGCTTCAGCAACTGAATTAGGTGAATATTTCAGTCCTCCCTCCTAGGATCATTCTCAGTTCCAGATAAAGTTTGGGGTGTGGGGCGGTCGGGAGCCATCTCAGCGTGGGTCTTTCCTTATCCTTATCCGTGTGTGTGTGTGTGTGTGTGTGTGTGTGTGTGTACTGCTGGGAGATAGAGAGAGAAGCCTCTGAAGATCAGATCCTGGGTCTGATCTTAGAGCGAGGCCCCCCAACTCCACTGGGATCCAGGGCTTATGTTCAGGAAAGGTCCTGCCCCCAGTGCTCAGAGTAAGCCTTGGAGACCTCTCAAGTGCAGCTGGGCCCAGGCTTGTCCTGTGGCTCCCAAGCCATGGGGTAGAGCCCTGAGAAGAGGAGGGCCATGTGCTGGTCCTGCACCTTGCATGCCGAGGTGCGCCATGTCCAGGGATTTGGGCAGAACCTAGTCAGGACGCCACAGAAGACAATAAGTTGCCCATTAAGGAACAGGTCCTGGTATGTAGCCGTAGCTTTAGAGCTCCATCCTGGGTGTGCCCGGTGTGGATTAGGCTTGTCCAGCACGTCACCTCCATCCAGGACTTGCGGTGTTTCTTTCCATTGGAGCGTCCTTAGCCCTGAGCCGATTGGGATGTCTCTGCCCCTTCACCTGTGGTGAAGATTAACCTCTGGGCATGCTGAAAGGCCCCTGCCCCGGGGACTTAGGCCAGAAAGAAGCCCCTGGGTCTTCCCAACGTTTTAAGCTTATGAGCTTAAGATACAGATGGAGGAGGATTTCTGTTCTTTATCCCTCAGGGACTGAGTCAGGTTTCGCCCTGAGGCTGGTAAACGGAGGGGACCGGTGTCAGGGCCGCGTGGAGGTCCTGTACCGAGGCTCCTGGGGCACCGTGTGTGACGACGGCTGGGACACCAATGACGCCAACGTGGTCTGCAGGCAGCTGGAGTGTGGCTGGGCCATGTCGGCCCCAGGAAATGCCCGGTTTGGTGAGGGCTCAGGGCCCATTGTTCTGGATGACATGCGCTGCTCTGGCCATGAGTCCTACCTGTGGAGCTGCTCTCACAATGGCTGGAACTCGCACAACTGCAGGCACTCGGAAGATGCGGGCGTCATCTGCTCAGGTGAACCTCAAAAATACCCGGGTCCCCCTTTCATGGTGGTTGTTACTGAGAGCAAATGCTCTCATTCCTGCTCCAAAGTCCCCACCTGAGCCTCTCCCGGATATGCTATGCCTCCCAAACTTCTCTGGGCGCAGCTGGCTCCCCAAGGGCCACAGTGAGTGAAGAGCACTGGCAGGTCCCCTCCCTCCTGGACCGATATTGCGTTGGAGCATCAATAGCACAGGGATGGGGAACGGACCGTCCGCCATTCAGTGGGTAGTCACAAGGAACCCCCTTTTGCTCAGCAGGATCATCTGCTGAGTCCACACCCCTCTTCCCAGGTCTTCCTTCTCAAAGCACACTTAGTGGCAATGTGGTTGGAAAATGAACCACCTTCGCTCCTTCATGGTTGCATTCTTCTGGGTCCTCCTTGCAGCCGACTCAGGGAACAGGATTGCAGCCTACATTGTGAATTTGGGAGGGCAGTGAAGAACAGCTGGGAAGAGGGATACTGTGTAGGGAATGGCAGGTTGGCGGTACAGTGAAAGCTAAAGAGCCAGATGTAAATGTGGATCCTGAGCCTTGCCCACTGCAGAAAGGCTGAGAAACCGTGTAATGCCTCAGAGCATTGCAATTGTGTTGTTGTAATTAGTGTTTTTCTATATCAACTCCCTACCCTCCTTCTTGCTGACCCATGCGGAGTGAATTCAATGGCTTCCTTGGTCTGTCCCTCTCCTGGCATTGGCATTCTGCCTCCTGAACCATCATCTCTCAAGTCCAGGAATGCAATCAATGGCAGTGGGACATATGGTTGGACTCTGAGAGCATGGAGAGATTGATGGTGGGCCCTGGCTTGTCTACCCAATAGCACATGGAAGCGTGATCCTACAAGGGATAGGCTGAGTTTCCGGGTCCTTTGATCTGGTTGTGACCCCTGTGTTCTTAGTGTCTGACTTGTGTTTCTTTCTCACAGCTGCTTGGCCGCAGTCCACAACCCAGCCAGGTGAGTCCTCAGCCACCCTATTTGGAATGTCTCTTGGTTCCTGTGGCACCCTGCCCTGTTCCCACTAGTCTTGGTGAACCACTTCTCTTTGTATCAAACCTGTGTACAGCTTTCTTCCTACCCCCTTTCCCAAGGGTCTCCAGCAAGCTGTTCTTAGCTAGACTTGGGACTCAGAGGACACAAAGAGTCCCATCTTTCCATCAGTCCATGAGTTTTCTTCTAGTCTGTCAAAGTGTCCTAAAAGATAGCTGCGTGTAGGTACCCGACAACTGACCAAGTGTGCCATGACTTTCAGATGGAATGCAATCTGGGATGACAATTTGAATTGGAGAATGGACGGTGATGAGCACTGACCTCGTATTGAAGGGCAGTCCGAATAGGCTCGATCACTTCTTTTGCTCATTGTTTAATACAGCCTCAGATTCATCAGGGTCCAAAGTATGTATCCAAAGTGGCAGGGACAGAGCCCAAGGGATCACAGTGTAATGATTTATGGTGTGTTCCAGGTGCCAGGATACTTGATTGGTTCCAGGTGGGCCTACTGTGCCCCTGACCCTTTCTGTCCAAGCTTCAGAGTGTGGCAGACCCTTCAGACATGTATGTCTTGAGTAGGGATGTGGCAAAGTTTTCAAAGGGAGAATGGACCTGCCAGGCTCAGAGATGGCTGTGGAGGGTCCAGGTTGTCCTCCTGAATGGACTTCATCCCAAGGGAAGTTATTGAGCAAGCGCTTGCTTAGCACACACGGATGGAAGATGGCAAAAAGCAGTGTGCAATTGCCACGATTCCCGCCAAAAACTCTTTTCAAAGACTGTTTTCCATGATGTGTAACTCTGTCTTTTCCCTCTGTTGCCTCTTCCAGGCACCTGGCCCACCTCATCCATACCTGTAGGAATAACAACAGGTAAATATTCCCATCCATCCTCCCTGGCTCATATTCTCCTTCGGTGTAAAGTTTGGGATTGGTAATGACAGGAGGAATCTCAGGGTGTTCCTTTACTTATCTTTGTCCCTTGTGTGTGTGTGTGTGAGAGAGAGAGAGAGAGTGTGTGAGTGTGTGTGTGTGTGTGTGTGTGTGTGTGTGTGTGTGTAGGATGGGAGGTGGTGAAGGAGTCGCTGAATATACGAGATCTGAGGTCTGATCTTACGGGGTGGCCACCTGACTCCACCGGGATCCTGAGCTGATGTTCAGTGACGATCCTCCTCCAGGTGCTCAGTGTAAACCCTGGAGGCCTCTCAAGTGCTGCTGGGACCTTGGTTGTGCCTCCCAGGCCACAGGGTACAGCCCCGGGAAGACAGGGGCAATGTGCTGGTACTGCACCCTTCTTGCCGAGGTGCCATCATGTCCTGGGACTTTGCCAGAACCCAGCCAGGACCTCACAGGAGCCAATAAGCTGCCCAACAGGGCAGTGGCCTTGGCCTGCCCTTGGTCTGCCCTTGGTAGCTATGGGGCTCCATCCTCAGTGTGCCCAGTGTGGTGTGGGTTTGTCTTCGCCCTCTCCTCCATGGGTCATCGGGTGCTTCCCTGCCTCGGAGCATCCTTAGGCCTGGGCTGAGGAGGATGTCTCTGCTCCTTTCCCTGTGATGAAGATTAACCTCTGGGCATGTTCAAAGGTGACCACCTGCCCAGGGGCCGTTGGCCAGGAGGAAGCCCCTGAGTCTGGAACATGCCGTAAGCCTATGACCTTAAGACAGACATGGACAGGAGGTCTTGTTCTTTGTCCTGCTAGGGAATGAAACGGGTTTGGCGCTGAGGCTGGTGAACGGAGGGGACCGGTGTCAGGGCCGCGTGGAGGTCCTGTACCGAGGCTCCTGGGGCACCGTGTGTGACGACAGCTGGGACACCAATGACGCCAACGTGGTCTGCAGGCAGCTGGGCTGTGGCTGGGCCACTTCGGCCCCTGGAAGTGCCCGGTTTGGTGAGGGCTCAGGGCCCATTGTGCTGGACGACGTGGGCTGCTCTGGGCATGAGTCCTACCTGTGGCGCTGCCCCCACAGTGGCTGGAACTCGCACAACTGCAGGCACTCGGAGGATGCGGGCGTCATCTGCTCAGGTGAACCTCAAAAATACCCGGGTCCCCCTTTCATGGTGGTTGTTACTGAGAGCAAATGCTCTCATTCCTGCTCCAAAGTCCCCACCTGAGCCTCTCCCGGATATGCTGTGCCTCCCAAACTTCTCTGGGCGCAGCTGGCTCCCCAAGGGCCACAGTGAGTGAAGAGCACTGGCAGGTCCCCTCCCTCCTGGACCGATATTGCGTTGGAGCATCAATAGCACAGGGATGGGGAACGGACCGTCCGCCATTCAGTGGGTAGTCACAAGGAACCCCCTTTTGCTCAGCAGGATCATCTGCTGAGTCCACACCCCTCTTCCCAGGTCTTCCTTCTCAAAGCACACTTAGTGGCAATGTGGTTGGAAAATGAACCACCTTCGCTCCTTCATGGTTGCATTCTTCTGGGTCCTCCTTGCAGCCGACTCAGGGAACAGGATTGCAGCCTACATTGTGAATTTGGGAGGGCAGTGAAGAACAGCTGGGAAGAGGGATACTGTGTAGGGAATGGCAGGTTGGCGGTACAGTGAAAGCTAAAGAGCCAGATGTAAATGTGGATCCTGAGCCTTGCCCACTGCAGAAAGGCTGAGAAACCGTGTAATGCCTCAGAGCATTGCAATTGTGTTGTTGTAATTAGTGTTTTTCTATATCAACTCCCTACCCTCCTTCTTGCTGACCCATGCGGAGTGAATTCAATGGCTTCCTTGGTCTGTCCCTCTCCTGGCATTGGCATTCTGCCTCCTGAACCATCATCTCTCAAGTCCAGGAATGCAATCAATGGCAGTGGGACATATGGTTGGACTCTGAGAGCATGGAGAGATTGATGGTGGGCCCTGGCTTGTCTACCCAATAGCACATGGAAGCGTGATCCTACAAGGGATAGGCTGAGTTTCCGGATCCTTTGATCTGGTTGTGACCCCTGTGTTCTTAGTGTCTGACTTGTGTTTCTTTCTCACAGCTGCTTGGCCGCAGTCCACAACCCAGCCAGGTGAGTCCTCAGCCACCCTATTTGGAATGTCTCTTGGTTCCTGTGGCACCCTGCCCTGTTCCCACTAGTCTTGGTGAACCACTTCTCTTTGTATCAAACCTGTGTACAGCTTTCTTCCTACCCCCTTTCCCAAGGGTCTCCAGCAAGCTGTTCTTAGCTAGACTTGGGACTCAGAGGACACAAAGAGTCCCATCTTTCCATCAGTCCATGAGTTTTCTTCTAGTCTGTCAAAGTGTCCTAAAAGATAGCTGCGTGTAGGTACCCGACAACTGACCAAGTGTGCCATGACTTTCAGATGGAATGCAATCTGGGATGACAATTTGAATTGGAGAATGGACGGTGATGAGCACTGACCTCGTATTGAAGGGCAGTCCGAATAGGCTCGATCACTTCTTTTGCTCATTGTTTAATACAGCCTCAGATTCATCAGGGTCCAAAGTATGTATCCAAAGTGGCAGGGACAGAGCCCAAGGGATCACAGTGTAATGATTTATGGTGTGTTCCAGGTGCCAGGATACTTGATTGGTTCCAGGTGGGCCTACTGTGCCCCTGACCCTTTCTGTCCAAGCTTCAGAGTGTGGCAGACCCTTCAGACATGTATGTCTTGAGTAGGGATGTGGCAAAGTTTTCAAAGGGAGAATGGACCTGCCAGGCTCAGAGATGGCTGTGGAGGGTCCAGGTTGTCCTCCTGAATGGACTTCATCCCAAGGGAAGTTATTGAGCAAGCGCTTGCTTAGCACACACGGATGGAAGATGGCAAAAAGCAGTGTGCAATTGCCACGATTCCCGCCAAAAACTCTTTTCAAAGACTGTTTTCCATGATGTGTAACTCTGTCTTTTCCCTCTGTTGCCTCTTCCAGGCACCTGGCCCACCTCATCCATACCTGTAGGAATAACAACAGGTAAATATTCCCATCCATCCTCCCTGGCTCATATTCTCCTTCGGTGTAAAGTTTGGGATTGGTAATGACAGGAGGAATCTCAGGGTGTTCCTTTACTTATCTTTGTCCCTTGTGTGTGTGTGTGTGAGAGAGAGAGAGAGTGTGTGAGTGTGTGTGTGTGTGTGTGTGTGTGTGTAGGATGGGAGGTGGTGAAGGAGTCGCTGAATATACGAGATCTGAGGTCTGAGCTTACGGGGTGGCCACCTGACTCCACCGGGATCCTGAGCTGCTGTTCAGTGACGATCCTCCTCCAGGTGCTCAGTGTAAACCCTGGAGGCCTCTCAAGTGCTGCTGGGACCTTGGTTGTGCCTCCCAGGCCACAGGGTACAGCCCCGGGAAGACAGGGGCAATGTGCTGGTACTGCACCCTTCTTGCCGAGGTGCCATCATGTCCTGGGACTTTGCCAGAACCCAGCCAGGACCTCACAGGAGCCAATAAGCTGCCCAACAGGGCAGTGGCCTTGGCCTGCCCTTGGTCTGCCCTTGGTAGCTATGGGGCTCCATCCTCAGTGTGCCCAGTGTGGTGTGGGTTTGTCTTCGCCCTCTCCTCCATGGGTCATCGGGTGCTTCCCTGCCTCGGAGCATCCTTAGGCCTGGGCTGAGGAGGATGTCTCTGCTCCTTTCCCTGTGATGAAGATTAACCTCTGGGCATGTTCAAAGGTGACCACCTGCCCAGGGGCCGTTGGCCAGGAGGAAGCCCCTGAGTCTGGAACATGCCGTAAGCCTATGACCTTAAGACAGACATGGACAGGAGGTCTTGTTCTTTGTCCTGCTAGGGAATGAAACGGGTTTGGCGCTGAGGCTGGTGAACGGAGGGGACCGGTGTCAGGGCCGCGTGGAGGTCCTGTACCGAGGCTCCTGGGGCACCGTGTGTGACGACAGCTGGGACACCAATGACGCCAACGTGGTCTGCAGGCAGCTGGGCTGTGGCTGGGCCACTTCGGCCCCTGGAAGTGCCCGGTTTGGTGAGGGCTCAGGGCCCATTGTGCTGGACGACGTGGGCTGCTCTGGGCATGAGTCCTACCTGTGGCGCTGCCCCCACAGTGGCTGGAACTCGCACAACTGCAGGCACTCGGAGGATGCGGGCGTCATCTGCTCAGGTGAACCTCAAAAATACCCGGGTCCCCCTTTCATGGTGGTTGTTACTGAGAGCAAATGCTCTCATTCCTGCTCCAAAGTCCCCACCTGAGCCTCTCCCGGATATGCTGTGCCTCCCAAACTTCTCTGGGCGCAGCTGGCTCCCCAAGGGCCACAGTGAGTGAAGAGCACTGGCAGGTCCCCTCCCTCCTGGACCGATATTGCGTTGGAGCATCAATAGCACAGGGATGGGGAACGGACCGTCCGCCATTCAGTGGGTAGTCACAAGGAACCCCCTTTTGCTCAGCAGGATCATCTGCTGAGTCCACACCCCTCTTCCCAGGTCTTCCTTCTCAAAGCACACTTAGTGGCAATGTGGTTGGAAAATGAACCACCTTCGCTCCTTCATGGTTGCATTCTTCTGGGTCCTCCTTGCAGCCGACTCAGGGAACAGGATTGCAGCCTACATTGTGAATTTGGGAGGGCAGTGAAGAACAGCTGGGAAGAGGGATACTGTGTAGGGAATGGCAGGTTGGCGGTACAGTGAAAGCTAAAGAGCCAGATGTAAATGTGGATCCTGAGCCTTGCCCACTGCAGAAAGGCTGAGAAACCGTGTAATGCCTCAGAGCATTGCAATTGTGTTGTTGTAATTAGTGTTTTTCTATATCAACTCCCTACCCTCCTTCTTGCTGACCCATGCGGAGTGAATTCAATGGCTTCCTTGGTCTGTCCCTCTCCTGGCATTGGCATTCTGCCTCCTGAACCATCATCTCTCAAGTCCAGGAATGCAATCAATGGCAGTGGGACATATGGTTGGACTCTGAGAGCATGGAGAGATTGATGGTGGGCCCTGGCTTGTCTACCCAATAGCACATGGAAGCGTGATCCTACAAGGGATAGGCTGAGTTTCCGGATCCTTTGATCTGGTTGTGACCCCTGTGTTCTTAGTGTCTGACTTGTGTTTCTTTCTCACAGCTGCTTGGCCGCAGTCCACAACCCAGCCAGGTGAGTCCTCAGCCACCCTATTTGGAATGTCTCTTGGTTCCTGTGGCACCCTGCCCTGTTCCCACTAGTCTTGGTGAACCACTTCTCTTTGTATCAAACCTGTGTACAGCTTTCTTCCTACCCCCTTTCCCAAGGGTCTCCAGCAAGCTGTTCTTAGCTAGACTTGGGACTCAGAGGACACAAAGAGTCCCATCTTTCCATCAGTCCATGAGTTTTCTTCTAGTCTGTCAAAGTGTCCTAAAAGATAGCTGCGTGTAGGTACCCGACAACTGACCAAGTGTGCCATGACTTTCAGATGGAATGCAATCTGGGATGACAATTTGAATTGGAGAATGGACGGTGATGAGCACTGACCTCGTATTGAAGGGCAGTCCGAATAGGCTCGATCACTTCTTTTGCTCATTGTTTAATACAGCCTCAGATTCATCAGGGTCCAAAGTATGTATCCAAAGTGGCAGGGACAGAGCCCAAGGGATCACAGTGTAATGATTTATGGTGTGTTCCAGGTGCCAGGATACTTGATTGGTTCCAGGTGGGCCTACTGTGCCCCTGACCCTTTCTGTCCAAGCTTCAGAGTGTGGCAGACCCTTCAGACATGTATGTCTTGAGTAGGGATGTGGCAAAGTTTTCAAAGGGAGAATGGACCTGCCAGGCTCAGAGATGGCTGTGGAGGGTCCAGGTTGTCCTCCTGAATGGACTTCATCCCAAGGGAAGTTATTGAGCAAGCGCTTGCTTAGCACACACGGATGGAAGATGGCAAAAAGCAGTGTGCAATTGCCACGATTCCCGCCAAAAACTCTTTTCAAAGACTGTTTTCCATGATGTGTAACTCTGTCTTTTCCCTCTGTTGCCTCTTCCAGGCACCTGGCCCACCTCATCCATACCTGTAGGAATAACAACAGGTAAATATTCCCATCCATCCTCCCTGGCTCATATTCTCCTTCGGTGTAAAGTTTGGGATTGGTAATGACAGGAGGAATCTCAGGGTGTTCCTTTACTTATCTTTGTCCCTTGTGTGTGTGTGTGTGAGAGAGAGAGAGAGAGTGTGTGAGTGTGTGTGTGTGTGTGTGTGTGTGTGTGTGTGTAGGATGGGAGGTGGTGAAGGAGTCGCTGAATATACGAGATCTGAGGTCTGATCTTACGGGGTGGCCACCTGACTCCACCGGGATCCTGAGCTGATGTTCAGTGACGATCCTCCTCCAGGTGCTCAGTGTAAACCCTGGAGGCCTCTCAAGTGCTGCTGGGACCTTGGTTGTGCCTCCCAGGCCACAGGGTACAGCCCCGGGAAGACGGGCAATGTGCTGGTACTGCACCCTTCTTGCCGAGGTGCCATCATGTCCTGGGACTTTGCCAGAACCCAGCCAGGACCTCACAGGAGCCAATAAGCTGCCCAACAGGGCAGTGGCCTTGGCCTGCCCTTGGTCTGCCCTTGGTAGCTATGGGGCTCCATCCTCAGTGTGCCCAGTGTGGTGTGGGTTTGTCTTCGCCCTCTCCTCCATGGGTCATCGGGTGCTTCCCTGCCTCGGAGCATCCTTAGGCCTGGGCTGAGGAGGATGTCTCTGCTCCTTTCCCTGTGATGAAGATTAACCTCTGGGCATGTTCAAAGGTGACCACCTGCCCAGGGGCCGTTGGCCAGGAGGAAGCCCCTGAGTCTGGAACATGCCGTAAGCCTATGACCTTAAGACAGACATGGACAGGAGGTCTTGTTCTTTGTCCTGCTAGGGAATGAAACGGGTTTGGCGCTGAGGCTGGTGAACGGAGGGGACCGGTGTCAGGGCCGCGTGGAGGTCCTGTACCGAGGCTCCTGGGGCACCGTGTGTGACGACAGCTGGGACACCAATGACGCCAACGTGGTCTGCAGGCAGCTGGGCTGTGGCTGGGCCACTTCGGCCCCTGGAAGTGCCCGGTTTGGTGAGGGCTCAGGGCCCATTGTGCTGGACGACGTGGGCTGCTCTGGGCATGAGTCCTACCTGTGGCGCTGCCCCCACAGTGGCTGGAACTCGCACAACTGCAGGCACTCGGAGGATGCGGGCGTCATCTGCTCAGGTGAACCTCAAAAATACCCGGGTCCCCCTTTCATGGTGGTTGTTACTGAGAGCAAATGCTCTCATTCCTGCTCCAAAGTCCCCACCTGAGCCTCTCCCGGATATGCTGTGCCTCCCAAACTTCTCTGGGCGCAGCTGGCTCCCCAAGGGCCACAGTGAGTGAAGAGCACTGGCAGGTCCCCTCCCTCCTGGACCGATATTGCGTTGGAGCATCAATAGCACAGGGATGGGGAACGGACCGTCCGCCATTCAGTGGGTAGTCACAAGGAACCCCCTTTTGCTCAGCAGGATCATCTGCTGAGTCCACACCCCTCTTCCCAGGTCTTCCTTCTCAAAGCACACTTAGTGGCAATGTGGTTGGAAAATGAACCACCTTCGCTCCTTCATGGTTGCATTCTTCTGGGTCCTCCTTGCAGCCGACTCAGGGAACAGGATTGCAGCCTACATTGTGAATTTGGGAGGGCAGTGAAGAACAGCTGGGAAGAGGGATACTGTGTAGGGAATGGCAGGTTGGCGGTACAGTGAAAGCTAAAGAGCCAGATGTAAATGTGGATCCTGAGCCTTGCCCACTGCAGAAAGGCTGAGAAACCGTGTAATGCCTCAGAGCATTGCAATTGTGTTGTTGTAATTAGTGTTTTTCTATATCAACTCCCTACCCTCCTTCTTGCTGACCCATGCGGAGTGAATTCAATGGCTTCCTTGGTCTGTCCCTCTCCTGGCATTGGCATTCTGCCTCCTGAACCATCATCTCTCAAGTCCAGGAATGCAATCAATGGCAGTGGGACATATGGTTGGACTCTGAGAGCATGGAGAGATTGATGGTGGGCCCTGGCTTGTCTACCCAATAGCACATGGAAGCGTGATCCTACAAGGGATAGGCTGAGTTTCCGGGTCCTTTGATCTGGTTGTGACCCCTGTGTTCTTAGTGTCTGACTTGTGTTTCTTTCTCACAGCTGCTTGGCCGCAGTCCACAACCCAGCCAGGTGAGTCCTCAGCCACCCTATTTGGAATGTCTCTTGGTTCCTGTGGCACCCTGCCCTGTTCCCACTAGTCTTGGTGAACCACTTCTCTTTGTATCAAACCTGTGTGCAGCTTTCTTCCTACCTCCCTTTCCCACGGGTCTCCAGCAAGCTGTTCTTAGCTAGACTTGGGACTCAGAGGACTCAAAGAGTCCCATCTTTCCATCAGTCCATGAGTTTTCATCTAGTCTGTCAAAGTGTCCCAAAAGATAGCTGCGTGTAGGTACCCGACAACTGACCAAGTGTGCCATGACTTTCAGATGGAATGCAATCTGGGATGACAATTTGAATTGGAGAATGGACCGTGATGAGCACTGACCTCGTATTGAAGGGCAGTCCGAATAGGCTCGATCACTTCTTTTGCTCATTGTTTAATACAGCCTCAGATTCATCAGGGTCCAAAGTATGTATCCAAAGTGGCAGGGACAGAGCCCAAGGGATCACAGTGTAATGATTTATGGTGTGTTCCAGGTGCCAGGATACTTGATTGGTTCCAGGTGGGCCTACTGTGCCCCTGACCCTTTCTGTCCAAGCTTCAGAGTGTGGCAGACCCTTCAGACATGTATGTCTTGAGTAGGGATGTGGCAAAGTTTTCAAAGGGAGAATGGACCTGCCAGGCTCAGAGATGGCTGTGGAGGGTCCAGGTTGTCCTCCTGAATGGACTTCATCCCAAGGGATGTTATTGAGCAAGCGCTTGCTTAGCACACACGGATGGAAGATGGCAAAAAGCAGTGTGCAATTGCCACGATTCCCGCCAAAAACTCTTTTCAAAGACTGTTTTCCATGATGTGTAACTCTGTCTTTTCCCTCTGCTGCCTCTTCCAGGCACCTGGCCCACCTCATCCATACCTGTAGGAATAACAACAGGTAAATATTCCCATCCATCCTCCCTGGCTCATATTCTCCTTCGGTGTAAAGTTTGGGATTGGTAATGACAGGAGGAATCTCAGGGTGTTCCTTTACTTATCTTTGTCCCTTGTGTGTGTGTGTGTGTGTGAGAGAGAGAGAGAGTGTGTGAGTGTGTGTGAGTGTGTGTGTGTGTGTGTGTGTAGGATGGGAGGTGGTGAAGGAGTCGCTGAATATACGAGATCTGAGGTCTGATCTTACGGGGTGGCCACCTGACTCCACCGGGATCCTGAGCTGATGTTCAGTGACGATCCTCCTCCAGGTGCTCAGTGTAAACCCTGGAGGCCTCTCAAGTGCTGCTGGGACCTTGGTTGTGCCTCCCAGGCCACAGGGTACAGCCCCGGGAAGACAGGGGCAATGTGCTGGTACTGCACCCTTCTTGCCGAGGTGCCATCATGTCCTGGGACTTTGCCAGAACCCAGCCTGGACCTCACAGGAGCCAATAAGCTGCCCAACAGGGCAGTGGCCTTGGCCTGCCCTTGGTCTGCCCTTGGTAGCTATGGGGCTCCATCCTCAGTGTGCCCAGTGTGGTGTGGGTTTGTCTTCGCCCTCTCCTCCATGGGTCATCGGGTGCTTCCCTGCCTCGGAGCATCCTTAGGCCTGGGCTGAGGAGGATGTCTCTGCTCCTTTCCCTGTGATGAAGATTAACCTCTGGGCATGTTCAAAGGTGACCACCTGCCCAGGGGCCGTTGGCCAGGAGGAAGCCCCTGAGTCTGGAACATGCCGTAAGCCTATGACCTTAAGACAGACATGGACAGGAGGTCTTGTTCTTTGTCCTGCTAGGGAATGAAACGGGTTTGGCGCTGAGGCTGGTGAACGGAGGGGACCGGTGTCAGGGCCGCGTGGAGGTCCTGTACCGAGGCTCCTGGGGCACCGTGTGTGACGACAGCTGGGACACCAATGACGCCAACGTGGTCTGCAGGCAGCTGGGCTGTGGCTGGGCCACTTCGGCCCCTGGAAGTGCCCGGTTTGGTGAGGGCTCAGGGCCCATTGTGCTGGACGACGTGGGCTGCTCTGGGCATGAGTCCTACCTGTGGCGCTGCCCCCACAGTGGCTGGAACTCGCACAACTGCAGGCACTCGGAGGATGCGGGCGTCATCTGCTCAGGTGAACCTCAAAAATACCCGGGTCCCCCTTTCATGGTGGTTGTTACTGAGAGCAAATGCTCTCATTCCTGCTCCAAAGTCCCCACCTGAGCCTCTCCCGGATATGCTGTGCCTCCCAAACTTCTCTGGGCGCAGCTGGCTCCCCAAGGGCCACAGTGAGTGAAGAGCACTGGCAGGTCCCCTCCCTCCTGGACCGATATTGCGTTGGAGCATCAATAGCACAGGGATGGGGAACGGACCGTCCGCCATTCAGTGGGTAGTCACAAGGAACCCCCTTTTGCTCAGCAGGATCATCTGCTGAGTCCACACCCCTCTTCCCAGGTCTTCCTTCTCAAAGCACACTTAGTGGCAATGTGGTTGGAAAATGAACCACCTTCGCTCCTTCATGGTTGCATTCTTCTGGGTCCTCCTTGCAGCCGACTCAGGGAACAGGATTGCAGCCTACATTGTGAATTTGGGAGGGCAGTGAAGAACAGCTGGGAAGAGGGATACTGTGTAGGGAATGGCAGGTTGGCGGTACAGTGAAAGCTAAAGAGCCAGATGTAAATGTGGATCCTGAGCCTTGCCCACTGCAGAAAGGCTGAGAAACCGTGTAATGCCTCAGAGCATTGCAATTGTGTTGTTGTAATTAGTGTTTTTCTATATCAACTCCCTACCCTCCTTCTTGCTGACCCATGCGGAGTGAATTCAATGGCTTCCTTGGTCTGTCCCTCTCCTGGCATTGGCATTCTGCCTCCTGAACCATCATCTCTCAAGTCCAGGAATGCAATCAATGGCAGTGGGACATATGGTTGGACTCTGAGAGCATGGAGAGATTGATGGTGGGCCCTGGCTTGTCTACCCAATAGCACATGGAAGCGTGATCCTACAAGGGATAGGCTGAGTTTCCGGGTCCTTTGATCTGGTTGTGACCCCTGTGTTCTTAGTGTCTGACTTGTGTTTCTTTCTCACAGCTGCTTGGCCGCAGTCCACAACCCAGCCAGGTGAGTCCTCAGCCACCCTATTTGGAATGTCTCTTGGTTCCTGTGGCACCCTGCCCTGTTCCCACTAGTCTTGGTGAACCACTTCTCTTTGTATCAAACCTGTGTGCAGCTTTCTTCCTACCTCCCTTTCCCACGGGTCTCCAGCAAGCTGTTCTTAGCTAGACTTGGGACTCAGAGGACTCAAAGAGTCCCATCTTTCCATCAGTCCATGAGTTTTCATCTAGTCTGTCAAAGTGTCCCAAAAGATAGCTGCGTGTAGGTACCCGACAACTGACCAAGTGTGCCATGACTTTCAGATGGAATGCAATCTGGGATGACAATTTGAATTGGAGAATGGACCGTGATGAGCACTGACCTCGTATTGAAGGGCAGTCCGAATAGGCTCGATCACTTCTTTTGCTCATTGTTTAATACAGCCTCAGATTCATCAGGGTCCAAAGTATGTATCCAAAGTGGCAGGGACAGAGCCCAAGGGATCACAGTGTAATGATTTATGGTGTGTTCCAGGTGCCAGGATACTTGATTGGTTCCAGGTGGGCCTACTGTGCCCCTGACCCTTTCTGTCCAAGCTTCAGAGTGTGGCAGACCCTTCAGACATGTATGTCTTGAGTAGGGATGTGGCAAAGTTTTCAAAGGGAGAATGGACCTGCCAGGCTCAGAGATGGCTGTGGAGGGTCCAGGTTGTCCTCCTGAATGGACTTCATCCCAAGGGATGTTATTGAGCAAGCGCTTGCTTAGCACACACGGATGGAAGATGGCAAAAAGCAGTGTGCAATTGCCACGATTCCCGCCAAAAACTCTTTTCAAAGACTGTTTTCCATGATGTGTAACTCTGTCTTTTCCCTCTGCTGCCTCTTCCAGGCACCTGGCCCACCTCATCCATACCTGTAGGAATAACAACAGGTAAATATTCCCATCCATCCTCCCTGGCTCATATTCTCCTTCGGTGTAAAGTTTGGGATTGGTAATGACAGGAGGAATCTCAGGGTGTTCCTTTACTTATCTTTGTCCCTTGTGTGTGTGTGTGTGTGTGAGAGAGAGAGAGAGTGTGTGAGTGTGTGTGAGTGTGTGTGTGTGTGTGTGTGTAGGATGGGAGGTGGTGAAGGAGTCGCTGAATATACGAGATCTGAGGTCTGATCTTACGGGGTGGCCACCTGACTCCACCGGGATCCTGAGCTGATGTTCAGTGACGATCCTCCTCCAGGTGCTCAGTGTAAACCCTGGAGGCCTCTCAAGTGCTGCTGGGACCTTGGTTGTGCCTCCCAGGCCACAGGGTACAGCCCCGGGAAGACAGGGGCAATGTGCTGGTACTGCACCCTTCTTGCCGAGGTGCCATCATGTCCTGGGACTTTGCCAGAACCCAGCCTGGACCTCACAGGAGCCAATAAGCTGCCCAACAGGGCAGTGGCCTTGGCCTGCCCTTGGTCTGCCCTTGGTAGCTATGGGGCTCCATCCTCAGTGTGCCCAGTGTGGTGTGGGTTTGTCTTCGCCCTCTCCTCCATGGGTCATCGGGTGCTTCCCTGCCTCGGAGCATCCTTAGGCCTGGGCTGAGGAGGATGTCTCTGCTCCTTTCCCTGTGATGAAGATTAACCTCTGGGCATGTTCAAAGGTGACCACCTGCCCAGGGGCCGTTGGCCAGGAGGAAGCCCCTGAGTCTGGAACATGCCGTAAGCCTATGACCTTAAGACAGACATGGACAGGAGGTCTTGTTCTTTGTCCTGCTAGGGAATGAAACGGGTTTGGCGCTGAGGCTGGTGAACGGAGGGGACCGGTGTCAGGGCCGCGTGGAGGTCCTGTACCGAGGCTCCTGGGGCACCGTGTGTGACGACAGCTGGGACACCAATGACGCCAACGTGGTCTGCAGGCAGCTGGGCTGTGGCTGGGCCACTTCGGCCCCTGGAAGTGCCCGGTTTGGTGAGGGCTCAGGGCCCATTGTGCTGGACGACGTGGGCTGCTCTGGGCATGAGTCCTACCTGTGGCGCTGCCCCCACAGTGGCTGGAACTCGCACAACTGCAGGCACTCGGAGGATGCGGGCGTCATCTGCTCAGGTGAACCTCAAAAATACCCGGGTCCCCCTTTCATGGTGGTTGTTACTGAGAGCAAATGCTCTCATTCCTGCTCCAAAGTCCCCACCTGAGCCTCTCCCGGATATGCTGTGCCTCCCAAACTTCTCTGGGCGCAGCTGGCTCCCCAAGGGCCACAGTGAGTGAAGAGCACTGGCAGGTCCCCTCCCTCCTGGACCGATATTGCGTTGGAGCATCAATAGCACAGGGATGGGGAACGGACCGTCCGCCATTCAGTGGGTAGTCACAAGGAACCCCCTTTTGCTCAGCAGGATCATCTGCTGAGTCCACACCCCTCTTCCCAGGTCTTCCTTCTCAAAGCACACTTAGTGGCAATGTGGTTGGAAAATGAACCACCTTCGCTCCTTCATGGTTGCATTCTTCTGGGTCCTCCTTGCAGCCGACTCAGGGAACAGGATTGCAGCCTACATTGTGAATTTGGGAGGGCAGTGAAGAACAGCTGGGAAGAGGGATACTGTGTAGGGAATGGCAGGTTGGCGGTACAGTGAAAGCTAAAGAGCCAGATGTAAATGTGGATCCTGAGCCTTGCCCACTGCAGAAAGGCTGAGAAACCGTGTAATGCCTCAGAGCATTGCAATTGTGTTGTTGTAATTAGTGTTTTTCTATATCAACTCCCTACCCTCCTTCTTGCTGACCCATGCGGAGTGAATTCAATGGCTTCCTTGGTCTGTCCCTCTCCTGGCATTGGCATTCTGCCTCCTGAACCATCATCTCTCAAGTCCAGGAATGCAATCAATGGCAGTGGGACATATGGTTGGACTCTGAGAGCATGGAGAGATTGATGGTGGGCCCTGGCTTGTCTACCCAATAGCACATGGAAGCGTGATCCTACAAGGGATAGGCTGAGTTTCCGGGTCCTTTGATCTGGTTGTGACCCCTGTGTTCTTAGTGTCTGACTTGTGTTTCTTTCTCACAGCTGCTTGGCCGCAGTCCACAACCCAGCCAGGTGAGTCCTCAGCCACCCTATTTGGAATGTCTCTTGGTTCCTGTGGCACCCTGCCCTGTTCCCACTAGTCTTGGTGAACCACTTCTCTTTGTATCAAACCTGTGTACAGCTTTCTTCCTACCCCCTTTCCCAAGGGTCTCCAGCAAGCTGTTCTTAGCTAGACTTGGGACTCAGAGGACACAAAGAGTCCCATCTTTCCATCAGTCCATGAGTTTTCTTCTAGTCTGTCAAAGTGTCCTAAAAGATAGCTGCGTGTAGGTACCCGACAACTGACCAAGTGTGCCATGACTTTCAGATGGAATGCAATCTGGGATGACAATTTGAATTGGAGAATGGACGGTGATGAGCACTGACCTCGTATTGAAGGGCAGTCCGAATAGGCTCGATCACTTCTTTTGCTCATTGTTTAATACAGCCTCAGATTCATCAGGGTCCAAAGTATGTATCCAAAGTGGCAGGGACAGAGCCCAAGGGATCACAGTGTAATGATTTATGGTGTGTTCCAGGTGCCAGGATACTTGATTGGTTCCAGGTGGGCCTACTGTGCCCCTGACCCTTTCTGTCCAAGCTTCAGAGTGTGGCAGACCCTTCAGACATGTATGTCTTGAGTAGGGATGTGGCAAAGTTTTCAAAGGGAGAATGGACCTGCCAGGCTCAGAGATGGCTGTGGAGGGTCCAGGTTGTCCTCCTGAATGGACTTCATCCCAAGGGAAGTTATTGAGCAAGCGCTTGCTTAGCACACACGGATGGAAGATGGCAAAAAGCAGTGTGCAATTGCCACGATTCCCGCCAAAAACTCTTTTCAAAGACTGTTTTCCATGATGTGTAACTCTGTCTTTTCCCTCTGTTGCCTCTTCCAGGCACCTGGCCCACCTCATCCATACCTGTAGGAATAACAACAGGTAAATATTCCCATCCATCCTCCCTGGCTCATATTCTCCTTCGGTGTAAAGTTTGGGATTGGTAATGACAGGAGGAATCTCAGGGTGTTCCTTTACTTATCTTTGTGCCTTGTGTGTGTGTGTGTGTGAGAGAGAGAGAGAGTGTGTGAGTGTGTGTGTGTGTGTGTGTGTGTGTGTGTGTGTGTAGGATGGGAGGTGGTGAAGGAGTCGCTGAATATACGAGATCTGAGGTCTGATCTTACGGGGTGGCCACCTGACTCCACCGGGATCCTGAGCTGATGTTCAGTGACGATCCTCCTCCAGGTGCTCAGTGTAAACCCTGGAGGCCTCTCAAGTGCTGCTGGGACCTTGGTTGTGCCTCCCAGGCCACAGGGTACAGCCCCGGGAAGACAGGGGCAATGTGCTGGTACTGCACCCTTCTTGCCGAGGTGCCATCATGTCCTGGGACTTTGCCAGAACCCAGCCAGGACCTCACAGGAGCCAATAAGCTGCCCAACAGGGCAGTGGCCTTGGCCTGCCCTTGGTCTGCCCTTGGTAGCTATGGGGCTCCATCCTCAGTGTGCCCAGTGTGGTGTGGGTTTGTCTTCGCCCTCTCCTCCATGGGTCATCGGGTGCTTCCCTGCCTCGGAGCATCCTTAGGCCTGGGCTGAGGAGGATGTCTCTGCTCCTTTCCCTGTGATGAAGATTAACCTCTGGGCATGTTCAAAGGTGACCACCTGCCCAGGGGCCGTTGGCCAGGAGGAAGCCCCTGAGTCTGGAACATGCCGTAAGCCTATGACCTTAAGACAGACATGGACAGGAGGTCTTGTTCTTTGTCCTGCTAGGGAATGAAACGGGTTTGGCGCTGAGGCTGGTGAACGGAGGGGACCGGTGTCAGGGCCGCGTGGAGGTCCTGTACCGAGGCTCCTGGGGCACCGTGTGTGACGACGGCTGGGACACCAATGACGCCAACGTGGTCTGCAGGCAGCTGGGCTGTGGCTGGGCCACTTCGGCCCCTGGAAGTGCCCGGTTTGGTGAGGGCTCAGGGCCCATTGTGCTGGACGACGTGGGCTGCTCTGGGCATGAGTCCTACCTGTGGCGCTGCCCCCACAGTGGCTGGAACTCGCACAACTGCAGGCACTCGGAGGATGCGGGCGTCATCTGCTCAGGTGAACCTCAAAAATACCCGGGTCCCCCTTTCATGGTGGTTGTTACTGAGAGCAAATGCTCTCATTCCTGCTCCAAAGTCCCCACCTGAGCCTCTCCCGGATATGCTGTGCCTCCCAAACTTCTCTGGGCGCAGCTGGCTCCCCAAGGGCCACAGTGAGTGAAGAGCACTGGCAGGTCCCCTCCCTCCTGGACCGATATTGCGTTGGAGCATCAATAGCACAGGGATGGGGAACGGACCGTCCGCCATTCAGTGGGTAGTCACAAGGAACCCCCTTTTGCTCAGCAGGATCATCTGCTGAGTCCACACCCCTCTTCCCAGGTCTTCCTTCTCAAAGCACACTTAGTGGCAATGTGGTTGGAAAATGAACCACCTTCGCTCCTTCATGGTTGCATTCTTCTGGGTCCTCCTTGCAGCCGACTCAGGGAACAGGATTGCAGCCTACATTGTGAATTTGGGAGGGCAGTGAAGAACAGCTGGGAAGAGGGATACTGTGTAGGGAATGGCAGGTTGGCGGTACAGTGAAAGCTAAAGAGCCAGATGTAAATGTGGATCCTGAGCCTTGCCCACTGCAGAAAGGCTGAGAAACCGTGTAATGCCTCAGAGCATTGCAATTGTGTTGTTGTAATTAGTGTTTTTCTATATCAACTCCCTACCCTCCTTCTTGCTGACCCATGCGGAGTGAATTCAATGGCTTCCTTGGTCTGTCCCTCTCCTGGCATTGGCATTCTGCCTCCTGAACCATCATCTCTCAAGTCCAGGAATGCAATCAATGGCAGTGGGACATATGGTTGGACTCTGAGAGCATGGAGAGATTGATGGTGGGCCCTGGCTTGTCTACCCAATAGCACATGGAAGCGTGATCCTACAAGGGATAGGCTGAGTTTCCGGATCCTTTGATCTGGTTGTGACCCCTGTGTTCTTAGTGTCTGACTTGTGTTTCTTTCTCACAGCTGCTTGGCCGCAGTCCACAACCCAGCCAGGTGAGTCCTCAGCCACCCTATTTGGAATGTCTCTTGGTTCCTGTGGCACCCTGCCCTGTTCCCACTAGTCTTGGTGAACCACTTCTCTTTGTATCAAACCTGTGTACAGCTTTCTTCCTACCCCCTTTCCCAAGGGTCTCCAGCAAGCTGTTCTTAGCTAGACTTGGGACTCAGAGGACACAAAGAGTCCCATCTTTCCATCAGTCCATGAGTTTTCTTCTAGTCTGTCAAAGTGTCCTAAAAGATAGCTGCGTGTAGGTACCCGACAACTGACCAAGTGTGCCATGACTTTCAGATGGAATGCAATCTGGGATGACAATTTGAATTGGAGAATGGACGGTGATGAGCACTGACCTCGTATTGAAGGGCAGTCCGAATAGGCTCGATCACTTCTTTTGCTCATTGTTTAATACAGCCTCAGATTCATCAGGGTCCAAAGTATGTATCCAAAGTGGCAGGGACAGAGCCCAAGGGATCACAGTGTAATGATTTATGGTGTGTTCCAGGTGCCAGGATACTTGATTGGTTCCAGGTGGGCCTACTGTGCCCCTGACCCTTTCTGTCCAAGCTTCAGAGTGTGGCAGACCCTTCAGACATGTATGTCTTGAGTAGGGATGTGGCAAAGTTTTCAAAGGGAGAATGGACCTGCCAGGCTCAGAGATGGCTGTGGAGGGTCCAGGTTGTCCTCCTGAATGGACTTCATCCCAAGGGAAGTTATTGAGCAAGCGCTTGCTTAGCACACACGGATGGAAGATGGCAAAAAGCAGTGTGCAATTGCCACGATTCCCGCCAAAAACTCTTTTCAAAGACTGTTTTCCATGATGTGTAACTCTGTCTTTTCCCTCTGTTGCCTCTTCCAGGCACCTGGCCCACCTCATCCATACCTGTAGGAATAACAACAGGTAAATATTCCCATCCATCCTCCCTGGCTCATATTCTCCTTCGGTGTAAAGTTTGGGATTGGTAATGACAGGAGGAATCTCAGGGTGTTCCTTTACTTATCTTTGTCCCTTGTGTGTGTGTGTGTGAGAGAGAGAGAGAGAGTGTGTGAGTGTGTGTGTGTGTGTGTGTGTGTGTGTGTGTGTGTGTGTAGGATGGGAGGTGGTGAAGGAGTCGCTGAATATACGAGATCTGAGGTCTGATCTTACGGGGTGGCCACCTGACTCCACCGGGATCCTGAGCTGATGTTCAGTGACGATCCTCCTCCAGGTGCTCAGTGTAAACCCTGGAGGCCTCTCAAGTGCTGCTGGGACCTTGGTTGTGCCTCCCAGGCCACAGGGTACAGCCCCGGGAAGACGGGCAATGTGCTGGTACTGCACCCTTCTTGCCGAGGTGCCATCATGTCCTGGGACTTTGCCAGAACCCAGCCAGGACCTCACAGGAGCCAATAAGCTGCCCAACAGGGCAGTGGCCTTGGCCTGCCCTTGGTCTGCCCTTGGTAGCTATGGGGCTCCATCCTCAGTGTGCCCAGTGTGGTGTGGGTTTGTCTTCGCCCTCTCCTCCATGGGTCATCGGGTGCTTCCCTGCCTCGGAGCATCCTTAGGCCTGGGCTGAGGAGGATGTCTCTGCTCCTTTCCCTGTGATGAAGATTAACCTCTGGGCATGTTCAAAGGTGACCACCTGCCCAGGGGCCGTTGGCCAGGAGGAAGCCCCTGAGTCTGGAACATGCCGTAAGCCTATGACCTTAAGACAGACATGGACAGGAGGTCTTGTTCTTTGTCCTGCTAGGGAATGAAACGGGTTTGGCGCTGAGGCTGGTGAACGGAGGGGACCGGTGTCAGGGCCGCGTGGAGGTCCTGTACCGAGGCTCCTGGGGCACCGTGTGTGACGACAGCTGGGACACCAATGACGCCAACGTGGTCTGCAGGCAGCTGGGCTGTGGCTGGGCCACTTCGGCCCCTGGAAGTGCCCGGTTTGGTGAGGGCTCAGGGCCCATTGTGCTGGACGACGTGGGCTGTTCTGGGCATGAGTCCTACCTGTGGCGCTGCCCCCACAGTGGCTGGAACTCGCACAACTGCAGGCACTCGGAGGATGCGGGCGTCATCTGCTCAGGTGAACCTCAAAAATACCCGGGTCCCCCTTTCATGGTGGTTGTTACTGAGAGCAAATGCTCTCATTCCTGCTCCAAAGTCCCCACCTGAGCCTCTCCCGGATACGCTGTGCCTCCCAAACTTCTCTGGGCGCAGCTGGCTCCCCAAGGGCCACAGTGAGTGAAGAGCACTGGCAGGTCCCCTCCCTCCTGGACCGATATTGCGTTGGAGCATCAATAGCACAGGGATGGGGAACGGACCGTCCGCCATTCAGTGGGTAGTCACAAGGAACCCCCTTTTGCTCAGCAGGATCATCTGCTGAGTCCACACCCCTCTTCCCAGGTCTTCCTTCTCAAAGCACACTTAGTGGCAATGTGGTTGGAAAATGAACCACCTTCGCTCCTTCATGGTTGCATTCTTCTGGGTCCTCCTTGCAGCCGACTCAGGGAACAGGATTGCAGCCTACATTGTGAATTTGGGAGGGCAGTGAAGAACAGCTGGGAAGAGGGATACTGTGTAGGGAATGGCAGGTTGGCGGTACAGTGAAAGCTAAAGAGCCAGATGTAAATGTGGATCCTGAGCCTTGCCCACTGCAGAAAGGCTGAGAAACCGTGTAATGCCTCAGAGCATTGCAATTGTGTTGTTGTAATTAGTGTTTTTCTATATCAACTCCCTACCCTCCTTCTTGCTGACCCATGCGGAGTGAATTCAATGGCTTCCTTGGTCTGTCCCTCTCCTGGCATTGGCATTCTGCCTCCTGAACCATCATCTCTCAAGTCCAGGAATGCAATCAATGGCAGTGGGACATATGGTTGGACTCTGAGAGCATGGAGAGATTGATGGTGGGCCCTGGCTTGTCTACCCAATAGCACATGGAAGCGTGATCCTACAAGGGATAGGCTGAGTTTCCGGGTCCTTTGATCTGGTTGTGACCCCTGTGTTCTTAGTGTCTGACTTGTGTTTCTTTCTCACAGCTGCTTGGCCGCAGTCCACAACCCAGCCAGGTGAGTCCTCAGCCACCCTATTTGGAATGTCTCTTGGTTCCTGTGGCACCCTGCCCTGTTCCCACTAGTCTTGGTGAACCACTTCTCTTTGTATCAAACCTGTGTGCAGCTTTCTTCCTACCTCCCTTTCCCAGGGGGCTCCAGCAAGCTGTTCTTAGCTAGACTTGGGACTCAGAGGACACAAAGAGTCCCATCTTTCCATCAGTCCATGAGTTTTCATCTAGTCTGTCAAAGTGTCCCAAAAGATAGCTGCGTGTAGGTACCCGACAACTGACCAAGTGTGCCATGACTTTCAGATGGAATGCAATCTGGGATGACAATTTGAATTGGAGAATGGACCGTGATGAGCACTGACCTCGTATTGAAAGGCAGTCCGAATAGGCTCGATCACTTCTTTTGCTCATTGTTTAATACAGCCTCAGATTCATCAGGGTCCAAAGTATGTATCCAAAGTGGCAGGGACAGAGCCCAAGGGATCACAGTGTAATGATTTATGGTGTGTTCCAGGTGCCAGGATACTTGATTGGTTCCAGGTGGGCCTACTGTGCCCCTGACCCTTTCTGTCCAAGCTTCAGAGTGTGGCAGACCCTTCAGACATGTATGTCTTGAGTAGGGATGTGGCAAAGTTTTCAAAGGGAGAATGGACCTGCCAGGCTCAGAGATGGCTGTGGAGGGTCCAGGTTGTCCTCCTGAATGGACTTCATCCCAAGGGAAGTTATTGAGCAAGCGCTTGCTTAGCACACACGGATGGAAGATGGCAAAAAGCAGTGTGCAATTGCCACGATTCCCGCCAAAAACTCTTTTCAAAGACTGTTTTCCATGATGTGTAACTCTGTCTTTTCCCTCTGCTGCCTCTTCCAGGCACCTGGCCCACCTCATCCATACCTGTAGGAATAACAACAGGTAAATATTCCCATCCATCCTCCCTGGCTCATATTCTCCTTCGGTGTAAAGTTTGGGATTGGTAATGACAGGAGGAATCTCAGGGTGTTCCTTTACTTATCTTTGTCCCTTGTGTGTGTGTGTGTGTGTGAGAGAGAGAGAGAGTTGTGAGTGTGTGTGAGTGTGTGTGTGTGTGTGTGTGTGTGTGTGTGTAGGATGGGAGGTGGTGAAGGAGTCGCTGAATATACGAGATCTGAGGTCTGATCTTACGGGGTGGCCACCTGACTCCACCGGGATCCTGAGCTGATGTTCAGTGACGATCCTCCTCCAGGTGCTCAGTGTAAACCCTGGAGGCCTCTCAAGTGCTGCTGGGACCTTGGTTGTGCCTCCCAGGCCACAGGGTACAGCCCCGGGAAGACAGGGGCAATGTGCTGGTACTGCACCCTTCTTGCCGAGGTGCCATCATGTCCTGGGACTTTGCCAGAACCCAGCCAGGACCTCACAGGAGCCAATAAGCTGCCCAACAGGGCAGTGGCCTTGGCCTGCCCTTGGTCTGCCCTTGGTAGCTATGGGGCTCCATCCTCAGTGTGCCCAGTGTGGTGTGGGTTTGTCTTCGCCCTCTCCTCCATGGGTCATCGGGTGCTTCCCTGCCTCGGAGCATCCTTAGGCCTGGGCTGAGGAGGATGTCTCTGCTCCTTTCCCTGTGATGAAGATTAACCTCTGGGCATGTTCAAAGGTGACCACCTGCCCAGGGGCCGTTGGCCAGGAGGAAGCCCCTGAGTCTGGAACATGCCGTAAGCCTATGACCTTAAGACAGACATGGACAGGAGGTCTTGTTCTTTGTCCTGCTAGGGAATGAAACGGGTTTGGCGCTGAGGCTGGTGAACGGAGGGGACCGGTGTCAGGGCCGCGTGGAGGTCCTGTACCGAGGCTCCTGGGGCACCGTGTGTGATGACGGCTGGGACACCAATGACGCCAACGTGGTCTGCAGGCAGCTGGGCTGTGGCTGGGCCACTTCGGCCCCTGGAAGTGCCCGGTTTGGTGAGGGCTCAGGGCCCATTGTGCTGGACGACGTGGGCTGCTCTGGGCATGAGTCCTACCTGTGGCGCTGCCCCCACAGTGGCTGGAACTCGCACAACTGCAGGCACTCGGAGGATGCGGGCGTCATCTGCTCAGGTGAACCTCAAAAATACCCGGGTCCCCCTTTCATGGTGGTTGTTACTGAGAGCAAATGCTCTCATTCCTGCTCCAAAGTCCCCACCTGAGCCTCTCCCGGATATGCTGTGCCTCCCAAACTTCTCTGGGCGCAGCTGGCTCCCCAAGGGCCACAGTGAGTGAAGAGCACTGGCAGGTCCCCTCCCTCCTGGACCGATATTGCGTTGGAGCATCAATAGCACAGGGATGGGGAACGGACCGTCCGCCATTCAGTGGGTAGTCACAAGGAACCCCCTTTTGCTCAGCAGGATCATCTGCTGAGTCCACACCCCTCTTCCCAGGTCTTCCTTCTCAAAGCACACTTAGTGGCAATGTGGTTGGAAAATGAACCACCTTCGCTCCTTCATGGTTGCATTCTTCTGGGTCCTCCTTGCAGCCGACTCAGGGAACAGGATTGCAGCCTACATTGTGAATTTGGGAGGGCAGTGAAGAACAGCTGGGAAGAGGGATACTGTGTAGGGAATGGCAGGTTGGCGGTACAGTGAAAGCTAAAGAGCCAGATGTAAATGTGGATCCTGAGCCTTGCCCACTGCAGAAAGGCTGAGAAACCGTGTAATGCCTCAGAGCATTGCAATTGTGTTGTTGTAATTAGTGTTTTTCTATATCAACTCCCTACCCTCCTTCTTGCTGACCCATGCGGAGTGAATTCAATGGCTTCCTTGGTCTGTCCCTCTCCTGGCATTGGCATTCTGCCTCCTGAACCATCATCTCTCAAGTCCAGGAATGCAATCAATGGCAGTGGGACATATGGTTGGACTCTGAGAGCATGGAGAGATTGATGGTGGGCCCTGGCTTGTCTACCCAATAGCACATGGAAGCGTGATCCTACAAGGGATAGGCTGAGTTTCCGGGTCCTTTGATCTGGTTGTGACCCCTGTGTTCTTAGTGTCTGACTTGTGTTTCTTTCTCACAGCTGCTTGGCCGCAGTCCACAACCCAGCCAGGTGAGTCCTCAGCCACCCTATTTGGAATGTCTCTTGGTTCCTGTGGCACCCTGCCCTGTTCCCACTAGTCTTGGTGAACCACTTCTCTTTGTATCAAACCTGTGTACAGCTTTCTTCCTACCCCCTTTCCCAAGGGTCTCCAGCCAGCTGTTCTTAGCTAGACTTGGGACTCAGAGGACACAAAGAGTCCCATCTTTCCATCAGTCCATGAGTTTTCTTCTAGTCTGTCAAAGTGTCCTAAAAGATAGCTGCGTGTAGGTACCCGACAACTGACCAAGTGTGCCATGACTTTCAGATGGAATGCAATCTGGGATGACAATTTGAATTGGAGAATGGACGGTGATGAGCACTGACCTCGTATTGAAGGGCAGTCCGAATAGGCTCGATCACTTCTTTTGCTCATTGTTTAATACAGCCTCAGATTCATCAGGGTCCAAAGTATGTATCCAAAGTGGCAGGGACAGAGCCCAAGGGATCACAGTGTAATGATTTATGGTGTGTTCCAGGTGCCAGGATACTTGATTGGTTCCAGGTGGGCCTACTGTGCCCCTGACCCTTTCTGTCCAAGCTTCAGAGTGTGGCAGACCCTTCAGACATGTATGTCTTGAGTAGGGATGTGGCAAAGTTTTCAAAGGGAGAATGGACCTGCCAGGCTCAGAGATGGCTGTGGAGGGTCCAGGTTGTCCTCCTGAATGGACTTCATCCCAAGGGAAGTTATTGAGCAAGCGCTTGCTTAGCACACACGGATGGAAGATGGCAAAAAGCAGTGTGCAATTGCCACGATTCCCGCCAAAAACTCTTTTCAAAGACTGTTTTCCATGATGTGTAACTCTGTCTTTTCCCTCTGTTGCCTCTTCCAGGCACCTGGCCCACCTCATCCATACCTGTAGGAATAACAACAGGTAAATATTCCCATCCATCCTCCCTGGCTCATATTCTCCTTCGGTGTAAAGTTTGGGATTGGTAATGACAGGAGGAATCTCAGGGTGTTCCTTTACTTATCTTTGTGCCTTGTGTGTGTGTGTGTGTGAGAGAGAGAGAGAGTGTGTGAGTGTGTGTGTGTGTGTGTGTGTGTGTGTGTGTGTAGGATGGGAGGTGGTGAAGGAGTCGCTGAATATACGAGATCTGAGGTCTGATCTTACGGGATGGCCACCTGACTCCACCGGGATCCTGAGCTGATGTTCAGTGACGATCCTCCTCCAGGTGCTCAGTGTAAACCCTGGAGGCCTCTCAAGTGCTGCTGGGACCTTGGTTGTGCCTCCCAGGCCACAGGGTACAGCCCCGGGAAGACAGGGGCAATGTGCTGGTACTGCACCCTTCTTGCCGAGGTGCCATCATGTCCTGGGACTTTGCCAGAACCCAGCCAGGACCTCACAGGAGCCAATAAGCTGCCCAACAGGGCAGTGGCCTTGGCCTGCCCTTGGTCTGCCCTTGGTAGCTATGGGGCTCCATCCTCAGTGTGCCCAGTGTGGTGTGGGTTTGTCTTCGCCCTCTCCTCCATGGGTCATCGGGTGCTTCCCTGCCTCGGAGCATCCTTAGGCCTGGGCTGAGGAGGATGTCTCTGCTCCTTTCCCTGTGATGAAGATTAACCTCTGGGCATGTTCAAAGGTGACCACCTGCCCAGGGGCCGTTGGCCAGGAGGAAGCCCCTGAGTCTGGAACATGCCGTAAGCCTATGACCTTAAGACAGACATGGACAGGAGGTCTTGTTCTTTGTCCTGCTAGGGAATGAAGCAGGTTTGGCGCTGAGGCTGGTGAACGGAGGGGACCGGTGTCAGGGCCGCGTGGAGGTCCTGTACCGAGGCTCCTGGGGCACCGTGTGTGACGACGGCTGGGACACCAATGACGCCAACGTGGTCTGCAGGCAGCTGGAGTGTGGCTGGGCCATGTCGGCCCCAGGAAATGCCCGGTTTGGTGAGGGCTCAGGGCCCATTGTTCTGGATGACATGCGCTGCTCTGGCCATGAGTCCTACCTGTGGCGCTGCCCCCACAGTGGCTGGAACTCGCACAACTGCAGGCACTCGGAGGATGCGGGCGTCATCTGCTCAGGTGAACCTCAAAATTTTGAGCCTCTATTTTTGTTTGTTATATTCTCTGAAAAACTATTTTCTTTCACTGTTACCTCATCTTCCTGAGTTTTGCTGAAGGGCAGGCATTTTCCCTTATGGCTTGAGCGGAAAGTGCATCAGCAATCATTTTGATGTACTTGAATTTTATGGGAGGACTGCAGTATCTTAATAAGCCCGTAGAGCAGTCATGTATTAATGGGCATATAGGTCGTGAGAACAAATTCCTGCAATTGTTTTTTTGTGTGGAATCCTGCCCCTGAGGTTTACTTTTACACTTCAGGTCCTCAGGACCCCTTCCAGAACGTCTTTCTTAGTGATGGTGGGTGAAGCACTCAGCATTTCTGTGTCTTTGGATCCTGAGAGGCTTCTTTCTGCACATCCTTCACAGAGACTAATAATGTGTCCTCTTTTTTTCCAGCTGTACAAAACACTCCTACTACCCCAGGTGAGTAGCTGCATCCCAGCCCAGCATCATTCCTCACTGGAATTCTACTCTCATGTTTCTAGAAAGTGATGGAGAAGCCCAGGCTCTTCTCTTTGAGGACTCTGGTATTTGTTACTGTGACCAGCTGAGTCCCCAGGACTTTGGCTCCTACTTAGGTTGCCACTCTCTGCTGCCAGGGTTTGCTCAGAGAAGCTGTAGTGGAAGGATTTTTGTTCCCCTCTGGTCATTTCAGATGAAACTAAGTGTTCAAGTCAGAATTATGATCATTTGAGAAATACAACCAAATAAAACTCCTACCAATGCTTGTCTGTTCAAGAAATCCTTCACGTTGAGAGAGCAATCCGCAAGGTTTTCTTTACCCTACAGTGAAAATATTCAGTGCCAAGTATGTTGGGAAGTGCTAGCTCCATACTCTAGCCCATCTGGGCCATTCGCAGTGCAAACTGGAATTGTCCAGGCTCTGAGAAGTCCTCCAGTCAGGGATAGAATCATCTACAGTAACATTTCCATACCAAACTAATGACTACGGAATGAAACCTTTTCCAATAAAATCCTAAAATCACTTCATTTTCCTTCCAGATTGGTGGCACCCATCAACTATAACTAGTAATAGTAAGTATCACGGTTTTCCACCTGAGGGCTTGGGGTTCTCATCCCCAAGCAGACTGTCCATGGAGTACATATCTGTAAATGTACAGCCCAGTTCAACCTGTGCATACAACCTACCCAGACCTGCCCCACCCTACACTGTTCCAAAACTGCCCACACACAGCCTGCCTCTACCTTCCAGACACTCAGCCTTTTTTATCCCCCCTGCCAGGTGGATGACCTTTGTTATAATAAGGAGACCCACTTCCCCTTCTTTTAAGGAAATGAAATAAGTTGTTCTTCAAAGAATAGACTTAAAGGCTTTTATTTCTTGGTGTATCTCCGAAGCTTTGAGAGAAGGAAGGGAGACAATAAATGGATAATTTCACAAGTAATCAATCCTTCGCAAGTAAATTTTTCCTCGTGGCTATTGCTCAATAGCTTTCCATCACTCCTAAGAAATGATATGGCCACTTGTTTATGTCACTGACTATTTTCTTCCCATCATATTAAATGTCTGCTTTGTATTTCATTACACAGCTATGACCACGAATTAGTTTACTAGTCCCCTTGGACGTTTATGTTGTCTATATTTCCACATTGTTATGAAGGATCCTCTGACGTAGAATATTTTTGTAAGTCTTTGCATATCTCCCCAATTTTTCCTGGAGGAAAGAAATAAATTTACTGGACTAAAGTTAACATAGTCCTTGGTACATAGAATGTACTTAATAAATGCTACCTCTTCTTATGCTAAGTATTTGAAGGTCTTTGCTGTACATATGGTCTAATGGCCATCAAGAATGTTGTAAAATTTCAGAATGTTGAAAAAGAGAAAACAATCTCCTCCCTCAGGTAGCTCACAGTAGTAAGTACGTACTACTGAATTTATGATGTAATTACAGGTGTGACAGGTGCTTCAGAGGGGAAGTTCGGTGTGCAAAGAGGGCATATTCACAGAGATTTTACTTGATCGAGGGATTAGGGGAAGTTCTTCACGAAGTGCTGCTAATGCATCAGGACACAAGAGAGGCGGGCTCACTCGCTGACATGCCTTCCAGCCAGAAGGAACACTTTGTAGGCCTGGGTGGGAAGGAGCTTGGCTGTTGCCAGGTCATTCGGAGCTTTGTGCACAGGTTAGAACTCCTGACTTTATCCTAAGGACAGTCGGAGCTGTTGACAAGTTTTAAGCTGGAGAATTGCAAAATCAGAAGTCTGTTTGCAAAAGATCATCCTTGACTTTTATGCCAAACTGTGCACTTCCTGAGGGCAGAGAACATATCTGCCTTTTACCCTCTTGCATCCTTATTTCTAGCATTGTGTCTGGCATAACATAAATGTTTTCTAAAAAGAGTAAATGAATACATGAATGAATGGGTGAATATTTAATCATAATTGGCATTTTGATACATACACCAACATGCACACAGACACAAACGACAGCAGGCTTTATGCCCTATTTTATAACATTCATTTTCACATGAGTATAGAATACTTATTTTTATGTCCTTAACATTAGCATTTTTCAGGTATTGAAATTATTTTTACACCATATAGTTTACTGGGCACACAGTTTTCCATTCTATGGATATATCACGATTTAATTAAACCATTACTAATCACAGGACAAAAGAATTAATTCTTTCTAAGTCTATTTTATGTACTTAGGTAATCACATACAGTAACACTTTTATTTTATAATCGTCTCTATTATATTTTTAGAAATCTGTAATGCATACCGTTTGCTCTGAAACTTTGGCTTCATCTTTGATTACTTCCCAGTGTAGAAATAGAACTTATGGGTAGGCATATTTTAAAGGCTAAATTATCTTTAAGAAGCACCATTTTTCCACAGAAACAGAGGAAACATTTGCAAATCATACACCTGATAAGAGACTTGCATCTAGAATACATAAAGAACTTTTTACACGTCAATAATAAAAAGTCCAATAACCCAATGAAAGAATGAGCGCAGTAGCTGCATAGATATTTCTCCATGAAAGATATACAAATGGTCAATAAGCACATGCAAATATGGCCACTTGTTTATGTCATTGAATATTTTCAATGCAAATATGTCAAACATCACTAGCCATCAGGGAAACGCAAAGCAAATCTACAAAGAGATACGACTTCACACCTAGTAGTTTGGCTAGAATAAAAAAGTCGGATAATGGCAAGTGTTAGTGAGGATATGGAGAAGTCATAGCCCTCACACCCTGCTGATGGGAATATAAAATGGTACATCCACTGAGAAACAGTTTGGTGGCTCCTCAAAAAGTTAAACAGAGTTACCATATGACCCAGCAATTATAGTCCTGGGTATATACTCAGGAGAAAGCATGTATCCACACAGAAACTTACATATGAATGTTCACAGGTGGGCAGCTTTGTTCCTAATAACCCCAAAGTGGAAACCACCTGAATGTTCATCATGGTGAATGGATATACAAAATATGGTCCATCCATACAGCAGAATGTTACTTGGCAATAGAAGGAAGTGAAGTCCTGGTGCTTGTTCGTATACGCTACAAAAGGGACATACTTTGAAAACATGATGCTAAGCAAAAGAAGCCAGTCACAAAAGACCACATATTGTAAGACTGTATGGATATGATATGTCCAGAATAGACAAATCTGTAGAGACAGAAAGTAGACTAGCAATTGCCTTGGGCTGGGGGCAAACGAAGAGTGACTACTGTTGGGGACAGGGTTTCTCTCTGGAGTAACAAAAATCTTTTCGAATTGACTGCAGTGATGGTTGCAGCATTCTGAATATACTAAAAACCATGAAGCACTGGGTGTTATACGAAAACAATGAATCATGGATCACTACATCAAAAACTAATGATGTATTTGTATGGTGACATAACATAATAAAATAAAATTTAAAAAAAAATACTAAAAACCATTGAATTATACACTGTAGCAAAAATAAACAAAAAGAGCTGTGAATAAGGGAAGAGCCAGTTTCAATTTCTATCACCACTAAGTATCTAGATATTTTTTAACAGTCTATTAAACAGACCAACAAAAGTTTGAATGCTTAATATTATTTATCATTCTGTGATAAATTATATCAGCTGATACTGTTGGGGGCTTACTATGTGCCAGGCCCTGCTCTCAGGGTTCACGTGTATTATCTCATTTAATTCACCCAGGAATCTGATGAGGCAGACGTTATTAGCACTCCCATTTTTCAGATGAGGAAACTGAGGCAGAGAGTTTCAGTAACTTGCTCGAGATCGTGGATCTGATAAAGGCAGAGCCAAGATGCAAGCCCAGGCCTTCTGTGGCAGAAACCGTGCTGTCGACCCCACTTCCCACTACTGCTTGTCAACTGGCCGGAAACCCTAGGGAATAAGTTATATTGCAGAGTGCTCTCCACGGGCCAGCACTCCTGCTCAGCCAAGATGATCCCTGTGCTCCACCGAACAATGACAATAATAACTTTGTTGCTTTCTTGGTGTTTTTGCGACAAGGTGACTCATGTTCTCTCTGAAGCTTGGGTCACCTCTTGGCAGAGAGTCACTTTTCTAGGCCCCATGAGGGAGGCAGATCCTTAGATCAAGGCCCCTAATGTGGGGCAGCCCACGACCAGGCCCGAGAGAGGAAAAACCGAGTCATGGTGTAAGGTCGGGGGATGAAGCCCGAGGACTCTTACCCAGAAGACAATTGCTTGTACAACACACTTGAAACCTGCCATGTTGGCGTGTCCCTCTCTGTCTCCTCTATAGGACCCTTTTTAGATTGTGGCGGCTTCTTATTCAATGCCAGTGGGGCATTTTCCAGCCCATCCTACCCTGGATACTACCCCAACAACGCCGAATGTGTCTGGGAAATAGAAGTGAACTCTGGCTACCGCATCAGTCTGGGCTTCAGTCATCTGCAGTAAGTAACACTCAGATCACCTGGTGAAGGATGGGCCTCCACGGTCTGCGTTGTGTGCTGGGCTGAGATGCTTTCACTCTCAGGTGCCACAGGCTAGACATTATGTTGCTCTGATCCTACTATGAAGCATTAGGCAACATAGGGAAGTCCTTTGATATGATTGAAGAAGAGCAAGAAGAAAATCTTAGGTTCAGTAACATGGCTCGTGAAAAGTCCGAACTATCTGTAAAAGACAGAAGCAATAGAAATTTCAATGTTGACATGAGTGCATTTTTTTCATACAGGCTGGAGACGCATAGAAATTGCGATTTTGATTATGTTGAAATTTCTGATGGATCACTGAATAGCAGTAACTTGCTGGGGAAAATTTGTAATGACACCAGGCAAATATTCACATCTTCTTACAACCGAATGATTGTTCGTTTTCGAAGTGATGTCAGTGTCCAAAACACCGGCTTTTCTGCTTGGTATAACTCCTTTCCTAGAGGTGCGTTCAAACTAAATCCGACAGAACTGACTTTCGTGGCTCGGTGTGTTTAGGCGGACCCTGCTTCCGAGCGTGTCATGGTTCCTATGTGAATGCAAAGAAGGACCTCAGCCATATGTTGCCCCTCCTCCTCCTTATCTCACAGCCGACTCTGATAAGCCAAGGCCAAGAGATGTGGGGAATCGCGGACACACCTTGGCCTTGGGTTTGCCACTTCCTGGGAGACCTGGTGACTGACCTTGCTGAGCCAATGTGTCCCCATCTGGAGGGGGAGGGGGTCTGAGCTCTGTGGTGTCTTAAGCCCCTTCCAGCTGATCTTGGAGATGTCTGTACCCTGATCAGTCACCTGGGGACTTTAGGAGGGAGCAAGGCCCATGGGTTATTCGGCCTTCGAGATCTGTTGTGGGAATGACCCTCAGTTCTTATGCCATGTATCTTTCAGATGCCGGCTTGAGATTAGTCAATTCAAATGTCTCCTATAATGCATGTGCCGGGCGTGTGGAAATTTACCACGGTGGCACGTGGGGGACGGTGTGTGACGATTCCTGGGGCATTCAGGATGCCCAGGTGGTCTGCAGACAGCTGGAGTGTGGATATGCAGTATCCGCTGTGGGAAACGCCTATTTTGGGCCCGGCTCTGGCCCCATCACCCTGGACGACGTGGTGTGCTCAGGGACTGAATCTACTCTCTGGCAGTGCCGGAACCGAGGCTGGTTCTCCCATAACTGTGCCCACAGTGAAGACGCTGGAGTCATTTGCTCAGGTACCATGTGGCGTCATTCGTGGAAGGCCCCTTTCACCTCCAACCTGCTGCAGGGTGAAAGTTAAGGGCTGGTGGTTGATGGTGTTTGTGGCTCAGTTCCGGGGGTGGAGGTGAGACTGGAGCTTGGCAGCTGTGCCCTTGGTCTTCCCGCTCCAGAAGACCATGCAAGGGCCCCGTTGTCTCTGGTGGGTTATACTGGCCACAGGACTAGTATGCATGTGTGTTCTCACCCTTCCATTTGCTCTGGGACCTTTAGCAATGAGTCTCATCTGTCAGCCTCAGTCTCCTCCTGTACGAAGAGGAGATGGTCATGATGCATCTGCATCCAATGGCGATTAGAGACCTAAGTGGCTCATTCGTGTAAAACCTTAGAACAATTCCAGACAAGTAGGAAATGAGGAATGAGTGATGCTGTGACCTTGGTCGTGGCACTGATGACCCCCAAGTGATGATAAGGCTGGGGGAACAGCGGGAGAAACCCGCCCAAGGCCTCCCCCTCATAGCACAGGCCTTACGGCAGTAACTCCACAGGCCATGTGTGCACTCACAGAAGAGGTCAGACTGTGAGTCACATGGGTATGCCCCTGCCGCATGCGGGCCCCTCCTCCCGCCACAGTTCAGCGACTAATGCTTTTCTCCTATTCCTTTTCAGGAAGCCAGCCAACAACGCACGGTAAGTACCCGTCATTTCTACCCAGCCGCCTGGCTGGCCCTCTCTGCTGCTGGTGCAGGGCATGCCACTCTCTCTCCCAGGAATTGCCCTATGTCTTCCCTGGCACTGGTATCCCTTGCAGCAGATGTCCCCACCCGAGGAGAGCTGGGCCTCTCTCTGGGCTCCTCTTTGACCATCAGTGGCCTGGCCAGCCTAAGATTCAGATCTACGGTCAGTCCCTAGGAGAGGCCAGCCACCTGTGTAGGTTCGACACCAGACCCTGGTCAGTGCAGGCCAGTGGGTCCTGCTTCATCAGTGAGCTCCGTGTGTAACCACCAAAAGCTCCTGGCTGCCCACTCCGGAACTGCTGCTGAACCTTCTCTAAGCATTCGCAGCACACTCCTGGCTCCTGAGATCTTTCCCCTCCATCCCCACCCTCCCCTCCTCACCACCAGCCTCCTACAGCAGCGACCCCTCAGCCTTGCCCCCATCCATTCTTCACACAGCAGCTGGGGGCGTCCTTACGAAATGCCAACGTCAATCCCAGCCTCCACACCTTCGCACCCTTCATGTGACTCTTCAGGGCCATCTGGGTGTAGATTCCCATGTCTGGGGACAGATCCACTTCCTTTGTCTGTTTCGTTTCCTCCCTCCACCCCTCCTGCTCCATCCACACTGATGTTCCCTAAGTGTGCTAGTGACTGTCAGGCCTGGGTCCCCCTGCATGGAACCCCCCTCTCTACTTTTTTGCCTGACCACTCCCCCCCGCCCCGATTACCTGCCCCCCTTTCTCTGCTCAGTCTGGGTCAGGAGCCAACGCTCTGGGCTCCCACCATGTCCTGGGCTTACCCTGATCACAGCCGCATCCTGCCACGCTGGGATTTGCTCTTGCCCGTCCACCACTCCAGGCCATGAGCTCTCTGAGGGCACACATCCAGCATCTCGCTGTGAACCTAGGGTTGGCACCTTTCTGCACAGACCAAGTGAGCACTGAACATTTGTGCCAACGATACCAAGAAACTGATTGTTATCTTTTCTCTTGGTCAACAGCTCCTGTTCACGATGCCACCCACCCAGACAGTAAGTTTGGGGCTCCCTGACAAACCCCCTTGCCCTTCCCCTCAATGACAGTGCCGCTGGGTGGGGCAGCGGGGGTGGGGGTAGGGGGACAGTGACAAAAATGAGGAGATGGCTTCCCTAAGTAGAGCCTCCCTGGACAGTCCAGGTCCACACCACCTCCTGCTGGCTTTCTGTCTAGGGGGTTGTTTAAAAATTTCCCCAGGTGACTGTGCAGCAGGCTCTGGGGGCCCTCCAGATTTTCATTTCTTCCCGACAGCAGATTATTCCTGCGGAGGCTTCCTGTCCCAGCCATCTGGGTACTTTTCCAGCCCATTCTATCCAGGGAACTATCCAAACAACGCCAGATGTGTGTGGGACATTGAAGTCCAAAGTAACTACCGTGTGACTGTTGTCTTCAGAGATGTCCAGTAAGTGTGTGGGTGCAGAGGAGAACACGTGGGGGCCTCACAGATATCGTAGAACAGAATAAATGGCACCTAGCCCTTCAGGAGAGATGTTGGCCCAATTGACATTTTCTCTCATGGGTTCAATTTTTCAGCTAGCCCAGAGGCAGCCTGTGGAGGTGGGGCCAGGACAAGAGCCCTGGTTTAAAGTCCCAGATCTGTCACTCATTTGCTGTGTGCCCACAGGAAATCACTTAATTTTCCCGAACCTTGGTCAAAACAAGGAAATAAAATACCTGCTTTCCTCTCATCTCTGGCTACTGGGAAGGTCACGAGAGAGAAAGAGGTGAAAATACTTGGAAAAGGTTATCCAACGGGAAGGATGCCGGTTAGGAGTAAGAGTAACACACAGAATCCTATTAACCACACCAGGTTGTTTGTTTGTTTTTTTTTTTAACCCTTTTTTCTTCACTGCCTCCTTTTTTCGGGGGTAAGTTCTGGGGGGTCAAGTAGAGGTGGAGAGATCTCTGCTGCAGAGGCTCGTTTATCTGTTCCTCATTCGGTGAAAAGGGGGAATCACTGCTTTAAGCAGAGGACACAGCGTCAAAGCCACGTTATGATTGGTCCAAGGAGGGGCGTGGCCAAGCAGAGGTACGAGTATTTTCTGGTGTCCAGGAAAGAGGGTACCATCATTTCTTTTGTAATAGCCTTTCCTGAACACAATAGTCTCCTCTCTTGCTTTTTGGTTGCTGTGGCTTTGCGAATCTCTGCCTTGGAAATTCATTTGGAGTTTTGCAGAAGTTATAATATTATTTTAACCTCCTCATCATTACAATTCATTCTGGATCTCAGAGACTGTACTTAAAGCTCATGCGATCCTATGGAGGAAGGTCGACCACCTAACCTTCAGAGAGGTTATTTGACTTGTCCGATATTCATTAGTCCAGTTATTTATTTCTATCACTATGGATTCATGACTATTTATTTTGTTCAATGGGAAGCCAGGGTCTTTTTGATTGATGAAGCAGTCTAAGGCAGGTTGTGATTCTTTCCTTTCATGATGCAAAGGAGTGTCAGGAGAGGGGCTGTCGATTTCATATGTGTGACCCCAAAAGTTAGGACGAAGTTTCGTGCATGGCAGTCACAGGGAAGTGAATATCATTCTTTTATTTTCAACTATTAATTTTGTCAGTATTTCTGCCACAAAGGTGTGACCCTCCCCACCCCCCCAACTCACTGAGCTCTGACCCCCTGCATCGAATCCTGGCTGAAAGTGACGCCAAAACTCTGTGTTCTGTCCCTGCAGGCTTGAAGGTGGCTGTAACTACGACTATATTGAAGTGTTCAATGGCCCCTCCCACAGTTCCCCTCTGATTGCCCGCGTTTGTGATGGAACCAAGGGCTCCCTCAGTTCCTCATCGAACTTCATGTCCATTCGCTTCGTCAGCGATGGCAGCATCACGAAGAGGGGCTTCCAGGCCAGCTACTACTCCAGCCCTTCTGAAGATAACACCAGTAAGTCCCCTCGTGGGGGCTCGTTGTGGGGGACACCTCTGCTCTACCCTTCTGTGGTTGCGAAATAAGAAACTAGAGCAGCTTTGTCAGGTCACCAAGGCTTGACCTGGTGCTGAAAGGGGCCACAAGCAGTGGTCTTGGGACTCCGGCTGCCCAGAAGCGAGGTCAAGGGCCAGAACTGGCTGATGGGCGGTGTGGTGGTCTTACTGTGGTCAGCAGAGACTAAAAAGAAGATGTGAGGTCATACTTTCAGCACATGGTGAGATGTCAGTGCCAAGGACACAGGTGACCACCTGGCCCCTGGACTATGTCCCAAGACAGCATATTTGGCTGCTATCTGAAGATGGACTGAGCCGATCACTCAGCCACTTCCAGCTAATGGCCACAATTTGAGCTGTTAAATGGACTGATTTATAGATTGGCTTAGGGACTGGGTGAGGTGATGTCCAAGCTCTCTTTTGCAGTCAGGATTTTAAGCATTGACCTATTCCATAGCTAAAGGACTTTATTTTATAACATCTCCACCATTCAACCGGAGCATTACTTTACTTTATGGATAAATGATAGATTGGCAAAACATTTTACTCATTTCACATCCTGCCTCCATTTCTCCATCAGGGGAATCCTAAGTCCTTATGCCCTCGAAGGGGTCTTGTGAGAATAACACTGACCTGAGTCATGGGGCACCTGGGGGGTTGTGGTGAGGACTATCCAACGTGGGCCGTCTTTGTCTGCCATCTTGGTCTCTGCATCTTTATACGGGAGGAGCGCCTAGTGGGCTTGCTGGGGTGCTGACTGCCTGCATTATTTGCCCTTGTCCACCAGAGCTGCTTTGTCTGCCAAACCACATGCAAGCCAGTGTGAGCAGGAGCTACCTCCAATCCCTGGGCTATTCTGCCAAGGACCTTATCATTCCCACCTGGAATGAAAGCTCCCAGTGTCAGCCCCAAATAACAGCCAGCCAGGTGACATTCACAATTCCCTACTCGAGCTGCGGCACCATCGAGCAGGTAAGTCTAGGGCTTCCTACTCTATCTCCTGCTGAATAAGCTTTCTTATAGTGATGTATGCTGTGTTTCTTGAATTCTAGGGACTCAAGCGACATGATGACGGTATAACCAGTGTAATCAGGGTAAAGATTTAAATCTGTCCCTTAGTGCCATGATGTAGCTGTAGCCATTTCCAAATGTAAGGATGAGGAAGGAAGGTCAGCAGGCCATTTTCCCCCACACTGTCATGCACAGAGGGTGCATGGCAGGCTGCCATTCCCATCAGCAATAATCATAGCAGCTCCCAGGGGCAGCTCCAGATTTTGTAGGGCCTGAAGCTTATACAGTTTGGGGTTGGGGTTAGTGAGAGGGGTGGGTGCCTCATGAAACAGAAGAATGCAAATGTATCTTACTTTTATAAATATTACAGAAACATATGGCTGTGCCAATACACTGCTAGGCACTGGGGGAACCTGCACTGGGGAGGTCCTGAGGCTGAAGCTTTATTAGCTTCACAGTAAATCAGCCTCTGCAGCTGAGCCATCATCATCTAGGGTGACCAGCTGTCTCGGTTTACCTGGGACTTTGCAGATGTCAGCATGGAAAAGTCCCATGTTCCACAAAACTCCTCAGTCCTGAGCAAAATGGATAGATGCTCATCCTCCCAGGGCCAAACACTAGGATTAGCTGGTGTCATACTCCCCAGATACCCACCAAGTATTCTGTCATTGTCACCCCACTTTAAAAATAGAGGGGCTGGGCTTCGAGAGGTCAAGCAGGTTGCGCAAGGCCACTTGGCCAAGAAGTAGCAGGACAAACATCAGACTCTGAAAATCTCCAAAACCTTATACTGAGTGAAAGAAGCCAGCCACACAAGAGTACCTACTCTGTGATTCCATTTCTATAAAATTCAGGAATGGGGAATAAATGTATGATGGAAAGCCAGCCTGGTTAGAGGGGATTGCCTGCAAAGGCGGTAGGAAGGAGCTGTTTTGGTTCTTGGAAATGTTCTGTATCTTATTGTGGTGGTGATTATTGTCAAACCTCACTGAATGACCTGCCTACAATGGTTGCATTTAATTTTATGTAAATTTATTTGAAATCATCTAAATTCTGAATTTTGGGATGACACCTAAGTAATCACTTCAAGATTTTGTCTGTTAGGGAACAGACATGATGCAAATAATGTGGCTTAGGACTACAGTAAATAAACAACATGAAATGCTCGAATATGTACAATGTGCATGACACACACGTTCAGAGGATGTCAGTTTGTCACTCACCAAAGATGTACTGAGCATTTGCTGTGAGCCAGCACTGGGCTAGGTGCTAAGATGACACTGTTAATTACCTGGCAAGGTAATTTCCTGATCCTTTGACACGTAAGAAACAGTGGGAGAGGAAGAGGATAGTCATTTAGCCAAACAGATTGGCCTATCAGCCACGGGTGGGTGCCTAGGCCTAAGGGTCCATAATTGCCATTATGGCCACCTGGCTCCTTTCCTCAGTTCCTACAGATACCAAGTCTCCTTCTGAGGTGAACTGAGTGAGTCAGGGAGACTTACATGAAGACAAGGGTACATATCAGTCATGCTATGCAAATGTTCTAGTCAACCAGACTTATATTTTGCCCTGTAATTTAATTGTGTTGGATTCTGGCTTGTCATGAGTTTAGTCAGTAGGAGTCAGTGCACCAAAGATGATTATCCCTCCCGGTTCCAAGTGTGCAGCCTGGAGACTCTGATATCTGAGCCAGCCCATCGATGTTCCTTCATGTCCATTAGAAGCCACCAAAGCAATGTGCCAATACTGGTTCTCGTAAGGTGGCTGGTGGTGGCCAGCATGCACTACACTCTCATCCCTCCATTTATTTAAATACCTGCGTCCCCTACCAGACCCAGTGCCCAGTGGCTGGTGTGGGGCCTAACCCTTTATAATCGGATTATAAACGGTTGATCTGTATGCCAGCCACTGAACTCAGTTCTACGTGACTTTCAAAATTCTTAGGGCAACATTCATTCCCACGTAATCACAAGGAGTTGGAGGCTTACAGAAGTTAAGCCATCTGCCCGAGGCCACATGGTCATGATCTGCTGAGCCAGGATTCAAAGCCAGGACAGCATGATCTGCAGGCAGAGCCGACCACAGCTCCCCCAGGAGCCTCACTGAGCGGGGTCTGACGAATGGTGGCTGGTGTGGCTGAGTAGGCGAGGTCTCCCTACCACATGAGACGGATATCAAGGGGAAGAGTCCCAGTCTTCATGGGAATAGCAGTTGACTTATCTGCAAGATGTCCCCTTACATCCTGTGTTCCTTCCGAACCGAGCAGACACCTAATAATGAATTTTAATCTAAAATCGGAACTGCTTCTTGCGATCAAGAAATAAACCTGCATTCCATGTTCATTGCTTGGAGTGGATTCAGAATTTAGCTTGAGCATAGAAGCCATAGACGAATGTGAATTCCAAGAAAACTTTGATTTTAGTGTACAGAGTTAAACTGAAGTCACCTTAGCTTGTCTTTGAAGGAGTAACAGAGTCACATTTATATGGTTTCTTTTGACAACAACTAGCACTCACATATAAAGCCCATTATTTTTTTCTTTTTTTTTCTAGAAAATATAGTGTATTTTCCTTGCACGAATGGAGGGTGTAGGATAGATGAGGTCTCCCCACCCCACCAGAGGGATGCCTTCCCAGAGCTGGGTCCAGAGTGCGGGTTCTGGCACTCCCCTACAGGCCTGGGGCTGCAGAGACCTCCCTGGCCCAATGAAGAAAACGGGGTGGCAAAACCATTTTAAATTACTTGTTAAATTTTTCTCCACATGTTTTTCTGGAAGGGACAAATTCAGAGTTGAGTTATGCAACCACAAGCATGAAGTGAAAGCCTTTCCAACACATGCTGTTCTGAAGAACAATGATATTTAAGGTGTACAAGTGCTGGATTGAGCAGAGAGCTTGTCTAATCTTCCAAATGGCCAAGAATAGAATTTGGTTCTTGACAGGGTGCATGACTACATGTGACTTGAAAAACCTCTTTTTTTTTTCTTAAGAGTAACCTAGCCTCACATTTTAGGACTTCTATTTAGGCCACCATGGTATTCTTTTTGTGCTCGTTCTTGCAAAAGTATCCATTGCTTATGGGAACTTGTACTTGGCTAGCAGAAAGAAGTTTGCTTCTGGCCATCATCATATCGGGAGGGAAAGAGTTACTCCCTTTCTCTGCCAGGCAATGACTGGTTTGTGCTTGCCTCATTTGAGGCCAGATGATCGTGGAGCTTCCAGATGGCCTGGTTCACCTGTGTCCTCTCAGCCATCTGGGCCCCATTCTTCATCCATTATAGTACTTTTGTGGGCCCTGCCCCCTGTACCTTTCATTCATTCCATGGTATCTACTGATGCTCCTCACAGTATCGTTGACACTGTACCAAGCCCTGATGACATCAGCTTATCCTTGAGATGCTCACAGACCACTGGGTGCAAGGCTCTCTCCCTTGAAGGTCACTCTTAGGCACATCAAATGGCATGAGAGACCAACATTCTGAGGAATTTGCTGCTTGCTAAAAGGCACATTAGGAATCTGTCCCATGGTACAGGGAGTGACAAAGCAGCGTGTGACAGGAAGTGCTCCAGCATTGCTCAGTCCACATGAGCCTCTGGGGGAGCCCCTACCCCAGTGGTCAGAGTCCCACTGCAGCTAAAACTCCACCCTCTGTCACTTCCGGTCCTGGCAGCCTCAGACACCAAGCTGCTACTGAGCCATCCAAACAGCACAGTGAAAGCTAATCCCACCAGCCTCTCCCTCAAGTACATGGCCGCCTCCCTTGGTTTCTCCCAGCCACAGCGAGAATGAAGCAAAGCAAGCATGAAAGGCCCTAAGCCATGGAGTCTGGACTCAGCTTGGTCATTCAGCAGGGCAAGGGGTCATCCAGACACACCCATCTTCCCATGGGGAGCAGCTCCTAGGAGGCCCCAACACCTGGCCCACACTGCTATCCCCATCACGTGGTAGAGGAAGGGGTTGTGTGAAAGGAGGGAGTCCTGCTAGTTAAGCCGCATGCCCAGCCCAGATAATGGGAGCCATGGCAGTCATGTGCCTTCTCTGTGTGGTCCTGGGAGGGTTTTAAAGTCTGGCTGAGTCACTTCCCTCTCATTGTAAACAAATCAGCAGTGAGCTTCCCTTAACAGGTGATATTTGCTTGACTTTGCTCCCCTGTCTTTGTCTCCCAGGTAGATAATGATACCATCACCTATTCCAACTTCCTCAAAGTAGCTGTTCCAAGTGCCATCATCCAGAGGAAGAAGGATCTCCACATTCACATCAGCTGCAAAATGCTCCAGAACACCTGGGTTAACACCATATACATTGCTAATGACACCATCGAGGTCGATGAAGTGCAGTACGGCAATTTTGACGTGAACATTTCCTTTTATACATCTTCTTCATTTTTACATCCGGTGACCAGCAGCCCATACTATGTGGACCTGAACCAGAACTTGTACCTTCAGGCTGAGATCATCCATTCTGACACCTCCTTGTCCTTGTTTGTGGATACCTGTGTGGCGTCCCCATATTCCAACGACTTTACATCTCTGACTTACGATCTAATCCGGAGTGGGTAAGGAGTGTCTTCACAGGGTGAATGTCAAACTTCACCTGACAATCAAACATGAGTAGCCTAAAGTCTCAAGGACTTTGGTTCTAGTAGAGCGAACTTAACCAGTCAGGTTGTCATACCTGGTTAACATCTAGGGAAATGAATGTGTGGGGAAGTGAATGAACCACCAGTGGTCACCAAGCAGGTTAGCTATAATTGGGATTTGGCCCAGGTGATCGAATTCCATAAGAAGACATGCGCGTAGTGGGGGGGAAAGCCTTGATTCTGCAGCAGATCGAGATTGAGATGCCAGTCTTCCATGTACCAGCTGCATCACTCCGGGCAGGCAATCATATCCTCTGAGCCAGTCTCTTCCCCCATCAGATGAGAATAGTGCTGCCCACATCATAGGCTGTTGGGAGGATGAAATGGGAAGGAGTCGATGGGGCCCTGGGCAAAGAGCATGCACAGCAGGTGGTCCACAAGGAATGCTGTGGGTAGCAGGGGTCAGCAGGGGTCTCTTGACCTAGCAGCTGAGAATGGTGGTTCTAACCAAGCTCAAGAGATGCAGAGGTCAGGCCAGTGGTGCCCAGGCTGGGGTCAGTGGTGCCCAGATTGGGCTCCTCCACTACAGTCCTGCTTCCCTGGATGACAGGACGCTGGTGAGGTCGAATTTGCCTCTTCGGAGCTCATCAAGGAGTCCTGGGATGCTGGGATGTACACTCCCATCCTTACTCCTTCGTCTCTGTCCATTGGTGTGTGCACCATTTCTTGGCTTATAATTTGACCTTGGCACCTCAGTAGCAATCACATAGAAGTACAATATAAAAGTTGTACTGATAGGCTAAGGGGCTTTGCTAGGAATCAGGGTTGGGAAGTTAAATTTTACACCTTCCGGAGATACTAAAAACAGCACCTTTTTCCAGGCACAGTTTGAATATGTGTCAATTCAGTAAACAGGTATTGAGGCTTGCCTTGTTCAGTCTGTGCAGTTGCTACAATTCACAACAGCCCCCTTGGTAGCAAAGATGGGGGAGAAGCTTACCCAAATTCTCTTTCTACAAATAGTAACAAAGTGACATTTGAATTTATGTCAGATGACTGAGATTAACACAAATGAGTGATTTGGTTCATTTTTGCTAAAATATCATTTTTGGTCAAATTCTGGCATATATGTATATAAGATAATGCAATTTCCTCGGGAGGGGGGACGTGCACGTGGGGGTAGATGTGGACCCAGCTGTACCTGGAGGGACACATTGGCTACACCTGAGGATCAGCCAGATCACCCACCTGGATGCCCATTAGAGGAATCTGGATCTTCAGACACACCCATTCCCGGCCCCACCTGCACATTCACTTTATTAGGTCTGTCGTGGGGCTTGGGTATCTGTATTTTCAAAACCTCCCCCCGCCCCATGATTCTGAAGTGCAGCCTGGGTTAGGGAGCTCTGGCCCATACAGACCACCCTGACTGGTGTGGTTTTATGGGAAATGCAATTATTGCCCAGCAGCCCCTGGGTTACCCTGACCTCATTTACAACTGTCCTACTTCCTGACGAGGTTCTGTGTACTTTCTCTCTCACCTTTGCTGCCAAACTGACCCCTGTCGAAAAAAGAATGTGGTATTTGAGAGAATGTGCATTGAAAGTGGAGGAAGGAACCTCTGGAAGGGGGAAAGAAGATACTGAGTGAAGCCTGGGCCACATTTCCAGGCAGAATCAGGCTGCCTTCGTGATAGCTCCCATCCACCACAAAAATTTCCACCCTAAACCCCATGGACCAGTTTCTTTGCTCTCCTCTTTGCTACATCACCCCAAATCCTCCTGTTAAGAGGGGTTCCTGGGTTATGCAAGCTGCTTGCTCAACTGGGGGTAGAGCTGGGAGATGCTCTTCACCCATATCTTAGTAAAGTTTCTTTCAGGGGATTCTTTTTTTTTTTTTTTAAAGATTTTATTTATTTATTCATAAGAGACAGAGAGAGAGAGAGGCAGAGGGAGAAGCAGGCTCCCCGCCAAGCAGGGAGCCCGATGCGGGACTCGATCCCAGGACCCTGGGATCATGACCTGAGCCGAAGGCAGACGCTTAACCATCTGAGCCACCCAGGCGCCCTCTTTCAGGGGATTCTTAAGTAACCTTCCCGCTAACACCAGTGGCGATGAGACGTCTGAGGGAATAAGGAGGCAGTGGATATTGGAATGGGGGGTACTGGAGAGTACTCAGGCTCACGTGGAAAGTACAGCCATCCAGGGCTCAGGGCAAGTTGAGGTGGGTCAGGAGACACAGCCCCAGAAATTTGGGAGGCAGGGGGGATGGTAGCCACCAAGGATACCAGAGAGTAGCCCAGTGCCACCTTGCCTGGCCCTGAGACCAGGAAAGGAAAGGAAATGTCATCTTCCTTCATGCCGTCTCTCTGGGCCCTGCTGCTTCTGTCACTCCCCTGGGTCTCCAGGGCCATCCAGCGTGGGGTCACTGAGCACCCACTGTGCAATATGGGGCCTGCTCGTCTGTGTGGAAACCCTGGGCCGATTTGCTGCTTTAAGATGCTGCTGACATACCAGAGCTGCTGGGGTTCTCCTGGAGGCTGACAGGCGATGTGAGGGAAGGAAGGTGCAGCCGGAGGCGTGGGCCTGGCCCATGCGCGTCATGAAGAAGGCAGTGCATCCATAGCTGACGGGCTGCTTTTCTCTTTTTCCAGGTGCGTGAAGGACAACACCTACCAATCGTACCCTCAGCCGTCGCCTCGCATCACCCGCCTCAAATTCAGTTCCTTCTACTTCCTGAGGCGCTTCCCCTCCGTGTACCTGCAGTGTAAGATGGTGGTGTGCAGGACTGACGACTACTTCTCCCGCTGCCGCAGAGGCTGCATCCTGAGGTCCAAGAGGGACGTGGGCTCCTACCAGGAGAAGGTGGACGTCGTCCTGGGACCCATTCAGCTGCAGGTCCCGCACACCGAGAAGAGGAACCTGGCTAAGTGGCGGACCTCCCGCCCCTAGATCTGTGACCTGCGGGGACCGGGGTTGTTTCTGTGGGTGTCGCGCTCCACCCCAGAGTGGGCACCCACCACGTGCCAGGCCTGCTGTGCTCCACGGGGCGATACGGACTTAGCTAGATCGCTTCTCGCCTTCTTCCATGGGCTCCTGGTCTATGGGGGACCACGTGTGGTGCTTGGTCGAGAGAGTTCTGATCTGCGACACAGACACACCTGACACTCTTGTCCTCTGGCTTCTGAACTCCCCGAACCTCACATTCCTTGACTGTGAAACGAAAATGGTAATACCTACCGGTTAGGACTGTTGAGGTGGTGCAATAAAATAATGTTAGTTAAACTGCCTTGAGGTCTGCCTGGTTCAAGTTCTTGGGTGCGAAAAATGGTGGGTCTTGTTACTATGGTTGCTGTCACCAATATCAACAACACGACGTCAACGATAACATTATTGCTCATGACGGTAATAACAAGAGGCCCCCATGTCCCCAGGCAGGGCCGTGGGGATGCAGGCAGGATCGGTTTATTCCAGTGGCTCACAAGGCTGACATTTTGGTGGTCAGCCATTCTGTCTCCTCATCTAGAACAGGGCTCCGATTTCACGCTCTGCTCTTTTCTTGTGGGTGTGGACAAGGAAACGACTGCAGAGGGATTGCCAGGATCTCCGGTCCAGGCTGAGGACAGGTCAGCAGATGTGGTGGCCCCGGTGACAGGGATAGGTGTGGGGTAGCAGGAGTTGTCGTAAACCCTCCTCCTGGTTACTGGGTTCCACCCCATGGGGCATCCTTGGCGGCTCTGTCTCCTTGTGTCGCATATTCAGGCAGTGAGCATGTCCCACTGATTCTAGGCTCTTACCTCACATATGCCCTCCTTGAAGGACTATTATATGCCAGGAGAATAATAACAAACAGAGATCAAAATCCCTGCCCCCCTGGAGCTTACCTTCCACCGGAAGGGGATGCAGTCCAGAAATGAGTTGAGTGCATGGCACCTGCCGTGGGTTGGAGCTATGGAGAGACACAGGACAGGGTGACGGGTAAAGGGTGCTGATGGGGATGCTGCCCACCGCACTCTTCTCCCTTCTTTTCCCATGGGCACTGCAGAAGCTCAGGGCCTGAGGACCTCTGGCCTGGGATGTTTGTACCCATTTCTCAGCTGGTCTAAATGTCCCAAGTCCCCCTCCCCATCCTTCTGGAGCCTCTGGTCACGTTTGATCTCCCAAAGCCCAGCTCTGACTTCCCAAACCTTTCCTGACTGCCACTGGGATGGCACTGCCACCTTTGGGATCTGGCCTCAGTTTCCTACCCAGCACCTCTCTCTCCCATTCCTTTCTCCTCTCCCACCACACAAACAGTTCCGCTTATCATCACCCTGCCCTCAGACCACCATCCTTGCTTGCCCCTCCCCCTTCTCTACTGGGCTTATCCTGATTCCCGCTCTCCTGTCCTTCCCACACCTGCCACTGACTGATGTGGGAAAGCAGGCCAGCCCTGAGGGGAGCTGCCACAGCCCTGCCATCTCTGCTGGGGCCTTCCTGGCCGTGGTGGCCTTCACCTTGGGGATGAGCACCCTCACAGCCAGTGGCTGGCCTCTGAGCCCTAAGATGTGAAGCTAGCACCATGTGCATGTGCTCAAACATTGGCCCCACCTTCTCTGGAACCCACGTGTGAAAGGAAGAAACAAGAGCCCAGAGCTTGGCACCCAGCAGCGCCCTCTGTTTCGCTTGTCATAGGTGCATGGTGCAGTGTGAGTACAGATAGGTAGAGGCTTGTTTTCCTGGAAACACAGGTTCAATGCTAGGACGAAATGTCAGGCAAGGAGGGGGAGTCCCTGCATCTCCAGGGAGGAGCATATAGTGGTGGGTAGAGCCAAATTTTATGGCAGCTATACAGGTGGGTAGAGGGGACAGCTTATAGATACCAAACAGTGAATGACAAATGTGCACAGACAAGTGTGGGAGCAAGAGACTGGTATAGAGACAGAGAGGCAGAAGGTATGGCTGTGGGTGAGCAGGATGTCGAGCCAGGCCCAGCTCCGGACAGAGACAGTGGGACAGGGCAGAACCAGACAGACAGAATGCCATGGCGGTAGGAACCACTGTCTGCACCACACCAGGGCTGGGGGGAAATGACGTGGGCTGCTGTGATTTCTAGGAACTGAGACTGGTTTCGGGCTGGGATGTTCACTCCTGGCTGTACATGTGGATGAGTCCAGGGCTTTCCAGCTTCTACTGCCTACTTGAACCTAAACCAGTTAGATCGGGATCCCTGCAGGTGGGCCTGACAGTGGTGATCTAAAATCTTCAGGAGGTTCCTATACAGCCAAAATTGAGAACCACTGGTGGAGTCCTTGAGTCCCTCTGAAGAGGCCAGTTGGGGCCCTGATCCTGAGAAGGAGCAGAGGAGGGCAAAGGTCCTTGCTGTACCCATGGGAGGACCCTGGAGGCAGGCTTGCCCTCCCTGAGTGCCTGAGCACCTTCCTTCTGGGAACCTATTCAATTTCATTCTAAAGAGACCATCTTAAAATGGCACTTCCCAGAAGTACCTCATTTTGACTAACACCATTGCCTCAGCCTATCCTCTCAGTAAAAGCATGGTGTGGAGAAATGCTATTTCAGCATCTCTTGCCAGGGGGGTCTTCAAACACAGAGTGAAATGCAATCCCCTTGACAGCTGGGCTGGTCAGGTATTATCACTCTCACCTGGCAGGGATGGACACCAAGGCTCAGAGAGGTGAGAGAGCACAGAACCCAAGACAAGGCTGGGGCAAGCCAGAGAGGTTGCGGACTCAAGTGCCGGGTTTTCCTCCCTCCTGTGTCCCCAGACCTTGGCACCAGCAGCCCAGGGACACTGGCCTTACAGAGAGTTTGCCCTCTGGGTGCATCTGACAAAACTGTGTGCAGCTGGGTAGTGTGTGGGACCCATGATCCTTAAGGAAACAGGTACAAAACGAGGCGTTCTCTGATGGTTGTGAGATCCACATCTATCTACAGCCCAGCTGGTTCTGGTAAGACCTCTCACTGTGCCTGGGGGTACAGCTCCTCCAAGCTCCACGCACCTTCAGGACTTGCTCAGAGCCCTCTCAGTGACCCTCAGCTCCATCCTCAGCAGAATGCTAACACCCCAGACCTCTGCCCCAGTGGTCAGAAGAACAGCAAGGCAAGGTCACCGGTCCTGACTTCGTCTCCTTCCCCTTCTGGGGACAGAGTCTGCCTTCCAACCCCTCCCAGAGGAGCTGTGAGAGGCTGAGGGAATGGTGTTAGTCAAAATGAGGTACTTCTGGGAAAGGCCATTTTAAGATGGTCTCTTTAGAATGAAACTGAATAGGTTTCCAAAAGGAAAGTTCTTGGGCACTCAGGGAGGGCAAGCCTACCTCCAGGGTCCTCCCATGGGTACAGCAAGGACCTTTGCCCTCCTCTGCTCTCCTGTGAACACAAGATACTAAATGGTCTGGTTTGTCCATAAAACTCAGCCCAGTGTGTGGGCCTCAGGGGAGAAGCTTGTAGAAGGAAGAAACAGTCAGATCATGGAGAATTTTGTACACTATGCTAAGGTGGGTACACTTTATCCAGAAGTCAGAGAACCACTGAAGGGTTTTCAGCGGGGAGTGAGAATGGAGTCATTTGTGTTTAGATGCCCCTGCTGGATGGTAGGAGTGAACTGGAAGAGGCCAAGATGGACTCCTTCCCAGAATCTACAACAACGTCAGTACAGGAAACCCATGTCCTGAGCACCCATTGAAGGAAGGCCATCCCAGCATGAGTTTCCCAGTTGGTTATCTCAGGATGGTCCAGATGTAGGAGTGCTGTTCCCCAGGAGCTGATGGCCCTGCCAGAAGGGTCTGTGAAGAGACCCCCACATTCCCCAGACTCTCCAAACAAGGAAAGTACACTGAGTGGTTTGGGGCAGCTGCAGTCCCATGGGAGCTAGGACATTTGTGGGCACCATATCCTTGGTGATCCTCCTAACTTACTCTTCATCATATAAAATGCAATATCGATAACCCAAGTCTGATGATCCCACAGGCAATGTGGACTTTTTGTTTTCCTCTTTTCAACGCTTTTGTAGAGACCCATATCCTTCTGCTGTATATTTTGTCACTGGCTAGTGGGAAACAGAAGAAATTCAACACAAAATATTCTTTATTATCAACCACTTTGCCAGAGAGTTCAGCAGAAATCCAGGACAACACGCGTGTGTGGTGCGTCTCTAGGTCTTTTCCTAGTGCATTAGAGACATAACAATTAGGCAGCTCTCCTGCCCAAGACAAGCCTCAGACAAATGGGATTCCATCTTGTTTTAAAGACCTTTTAGAAAAGGTTTCAATTGGGGCGCCTGGGTGGCTCAGTCATTAAGCGTCTGCCTTCGGCTCAGGTCATGATCCCAGAGTTCTGGGATCGAGCCCCACATCAGGCTCCCTGCTCTGCGGGAAGCCTGCTTCTCCCTCTCCCACTCCCCCTGCTTGTGTTCCCTCTCCCGCTGTGTCTCTCTCTGTCAAATAAATAAAAAAAAAGAAAGAAAGAAAGAAAGAAAAGGTTTCAATCACTCTCAGTGATGCCTGATTCATCACTGTGTAATGAGAATTTTCAAATAAATAAAAAAAAAATCTAGTCTTCAGTAAAGAGAGATTTTAATCAAAACAATTGCAGCAACAAAGAGAATGCTGTGAGCTGCAAGTGTCTCAAAAGTCAGGAGAAAAGAATTTTCCTTTATAGGGAAGAGGACAGAGCCTAGAAAAGTCAGAGGAGAGGGATGGGATGAGCAGGTGTGATCAGACAGGTAAGCCAGAAATGTGTCTCCTTGTGGTCAGCTGATTCCAGGAAGAGCTTCAAGGAAGGTTGTTCTACTTTCCCAAGATTCCTAAGCTCTCAGGTCTTGGGCAAATGGAACCTGTGTAGAGGAGGGTAGGTTACCTAGATTAGGTAAGGTCAATTTACTGGCATTTCCTTCTGATTGATGTGCAGGAGAAGCAGTTCCGCTAATCATTGATTAGAAGAAACAGATTTTGGAGGGAAAGTGTCTGATTTGTTTTAGGTTACATGTGTTATATTTGTATGCATACAGATGTATATGGAGAATATATATAATATATAGCTTGTAGAGTGTATAGTATGTTCACTACACATTTTGAAAAAATACACTAGAAAATACCAAGGGGATTATAAGAAGAATAATAAGAAGGAAAATCATATTCTGACTGATATCTGCTATGTCATTGAGATGACAGGTACATTTTGAGAGATTCCCTATAGTGTCTCCCTAAGATCTTGGCATGTAGAAATGCTGGGATAGAATCTGTGTACGTTTCTGGGCAGCATCTTTGGGTCACACAGCTTCCTCCTCACTCAGTGACAATCCAGTAGCCGTAGGCTCAACCTTATTTCAACAGGCCACAAGCATCCTCATGCCCACCATGACACATAGCCACGCATGGACTGGGGAAGAAACATCAGCACCTTCCTTACCCACTTCTACTTACCATTTGGGTCACCCTCGTAATATATATCAAAGGGAGAACCCCCAAAGGGAGTTTCTTTTTCGTATATTATCATTATGATGTTGGCTGAAGATTGAAAATGGAAATTTAAAGCTTCACACATCATCCCATATCTCATATTTCCTGGAAGTCCATTGGTTATTTCCAAAGTCTATGAATAACAGGTGAGGCTGTTGGGGCCGAAGGAAAGGCATACATCAGCTCTTGGAATCACTGGCCCTCCAGCAAGCAGACTCAGCAGGGATGAGACCCCAACATGAGCTTTGCTCACGGGAGGTGCCAGAGCTGATGGGGACAAGGGAAGGAATGTCATTCATTCTTCTGAACTGAGGACAGCCCCCCAGGACACTCCCAGTTCTACAAAAGAACTTCCCTGCTGCCTGAGCTGCAGGTAACTTCAAAATCACCTAGCAGACTTACTTGTGATCTGGGATGCCAACATAGAAATTTGGGGTCAGGAGCCACTAGTTTATGGGGCCCCAGAAGCATCAAAATACAGCCAACACTGTGGTATGTTTCCCTCAATAATGCCCACTGTGGCAGGCCATGGGGTCCAGACATGAGTGTATGCTCGCCATCCTGGTTTCTAGGTTTGACTGTTTGGCAGGTGGACCCAAGCACCACAAGCTGACCTCCACGAGAAGCAGAGGTGAGGGGCATCCATCTCTGTCTCCCATGAGGCAACTTGGACTCCTGCTCACACTCCTGCTCAGTTCACCCACCTCCATCTTCTCTTCAGGATCTGATTTCCCACCCATCATCCTCACATGGCCACCAGCATGCCTCACACAGGAGTGAGGCTATAGCCTCTCTGGTCTAGAACGAGACAAGGAGGCATACTCTACCCCTTAGCTAGTTTGCTCTTGGTCAGCCTGAGTCCTTCTTTGGAGGCAGGAAAATCAGATCCAAAATCAATCTTTAAAAGGATGAAAGGACGAAGCACCTGGGTGGCTCAGTCGGTTAAGCATCTCCCTATGGCTCAGGTCATGATCCCGGGGTCCTGGGATTGAGTCCCGAGTCAGGCTCCCAGCTCAGTGGGGAGTCTGCTTGTTCTTCTCCCTCTACCCCTTCCACCCACTTGTGCTCTCTCTCACTCTCTCTCAAATAAATAAA